GGAGGACACTTCACGGTGACAGCACAGGGGCATGAGCTGTGGACAGCATCACCTTGCTGGGGACTCTGGGGACTTTGGAAGGATGATGAAGAGAGGGACAGAAAAGTGGTGAAGAGAGCAGGCCTTGGCCCTGGGGGTGAGCTGGCCTGGGCAGCAGGTGGGAGCGGGGGAGGGGGGAGTGTGCCGGCACCAAAGGGGGCAAACAACCTCAACCCCACCCTGGGTCCACAGGGTCCCCTGGAGGCCTCCGCCCAGTTCCTCAGGACCCCTCCCCGCCCTGTCCACAGGGAGGGGCAAGTTCTTTGCTCCTTGGAAGCCAACAGTGTGAGCTGGCGGGGCTGGGGAGCTAGCTGATCACAGGGTCCTTTCCTGAGGTGCAGGGCTTGGCCCCCACCAGGAGTCTGCGGGATGCACATGTGGTAAGTCAGGACCCGCTGGCTCCTCGAGGAGGACCCAAGGCCCAGGGGAGGGCCGGCACCAGGAAGCTCCCGGCCAGGGAAAGACTGCGTCGCTGACAGCGACGTGGCAGTGGTGCAGTGTCAGCTCCTGGTCCTCTGTGGCTGGCCTGGGGCGCCCAGCCTGCGGGCGGTGGGCAGGTTAGCGGGTGTTCCTGGGCAGCTGGGCCGCTGGCGGGGCTGCAGCTTGCAGGGGATGTTGAGGGTGCTTGATGCGGAGGCCAGGGTGGGCGCAGGTATGGAGGCACCACCCTTCGCCTGGTTTCCAGACTAAGCTGGGGTCCAGACTCAAAGCCCCAGGCCCCTGCACTGAACAGTTCACACCGAGACAAGTCCCACAGGCGAGCTGGCAGTGGCACGGGCAGCCAAGCAGCAGAAGGGACACACTGGCACGCAAAGGGCTCTTGCTGACACCTCATGCCTGCATGTGGAGAGGCTAGGGCACAGGGCGCGGCTGACACTGACGTGGTGGCCTCCTGTGGGGGTCACGGGGCAGGCGGCAGAGTCTGGCCAGTGCCACCCACCTGGGCCACCTCCCCGCCCAGCACAGTGGGCAGCAGGCCTGGCGGTGGGCACTGCCCACGGGCTCCTATCAGGGAGCCTAGCGCAGGCCTCTAGCACTAGCCTCACCCATGACGGAGCTACATGGGTGACGTTCGGGTGCTGCCAGGGTGGGGCCCCTTTGCATCTTGCTCACCCTGCAGTTGGACCACTGTGGAAGGCAGGTGGCAAGGGAGGGACAGCAGAGCAGACACCAGCCAGGGCATAGCCAGATGTGGCATCTGCCAGAGTGGCGCCCCCAGCTCCAGGTGCCTGGCAGGGGTGCCCCTTCCCACTCTGGGCTCAGGAACCCCCAGACTCATTTCCATGGTGTGTGATCTAGAGCTGCAGCCCCTCAGCCTCTCAGCGCAGTGCTGTCAGACACCATGCAGGTCCCGTGTCAGTGCCTTGTGTCAGGCAGCGGTCCCGCAGCGGGGCGTCTTCGTCACCCTTCTCACCGCGGGGACAAAGCGCCTCACACCCGTGGCTTGAGAGGGGAGGTCATCTTGGCTCACGGTTTGAGGAGGGTTCTGTCTGTGGTCTGCGGGCTCCCAGCCTGCAGGCTGGAGGTCGGGTGGGAAACGTGGTGGTCCTGGAGGACGCTCCACAGGTGCTCATGGAGTGAGGCTGCATGCCGGCCTGGACACAACGCCAGGCCTGTGTGCCTGGACTGGTGCTAGTACCAGCCTGTCGGGCCCGCCTGTGGCAAGCTCAGCAAACCCAGGTAAGACTGTTGCATGTGGACGCCGCCTAGGTATGCTGCATGCAGTGCTGGTCAGCTGTGGTCAGTGCTGCGACAGGCGTGGGAAACGGCCCCCTCTGGGTGCCTGGCGACCCCCACAGGAGAGAGGGGTGCTTGGGCAGCACCTGGCTGGCTGCTGGGGCCCAGGGAAGAAAGGTGGAGACACAGGGACACAGGCTGTGGGAGAGGCTGCAGACAGAATGGGGGGTGCTTTTTGTGTTTTCAGGACTGGGGACTGAACCCAGAGTGTAATTGTTCGTAAGGCAACAGAGCCTTACACAGTATACCAGTGAAAGTTCGCAACTCAAACGTCTGTAAGTCAGGACTTGCTACGTCTTGTTTTTTCAGGCTGGCCTCAAACTTGCAGTCCTGCTTCAGCCTCTGGAGAAGCTAGGATTACAGGCAAGTGTCACTATGGTCGGCCCATGTGGAAATTTTGTTTTATTTTATTTTATTTTATTTATTTTTATTTATTTTTATTTTTTTTTCTGGTACTGGAAACTGAACTCACGACCTCGTGCTTGCTAGGCAGGTGCTGCGCCACTGAGCTAAATCCCCAGCACCCCGAGTGGAAATTTTAAATCCCACTTAATACCTGCTGGGATGTATCTGCCATGGAAGAGACTCGGATAGCCAGGTAGCATGGCTTGCAGGCTGCTGCATTGGACCCCTAGTGGTGCAGCGGGCTCATGGCCTGGCAGGGACTGTAACCTGCTGGTTGGCGAAGCTGCCCCAGGTCTGCAGCATGTGCCCAGGATACCCCCCAAGAAGCCTGGTCACTGCCCAGCCACCCTTCTGCCAAGTCTGGCGCTTGGGGCTAGGGTGCCTGGCCCCGCCTCCTCCCGTCTGGACACCCAAGGTGTCCCCAGTTCATTCCCAACGCCGCTGAGATCTGGTGGCTCAGAGGACACCACAACGCAGCACCAGACCCACTGAAGTCAGTGCAGAGGAAAGCGGGGACCCAGGCACTTCCAGGAGCCCGGGCCCCACAGGCCCACGCAAAGGCTGTGGCAAAGAGCCCTCGCAGGGCCCAGGTCGCAGAGGCCCGAGAGAGGCCAAAGCCAAGGCTCCTTCCTTACCATCTGACAGGGCCTTCGCAGTGCTGGACCTGCTTGGCCATAGGACATCCTCCCAAGACCCAGCCCACGCACAAGGATGCCAGAGCAGCCCTCCGTGGAACAGCCTGGCTCCCTGGCCCAGAGAAGGCCTTCCAGGGCGGTCCTGCAGTGCCACCTGCTGGTCACATGCTTCTAGCCTGGGCCCAGGGTCAGCACCAAGAGCCAGACTCGCTAGTGGGTGTGCAGTGGGCAGGACTGCCTTTTGTGCAGCCCGAAGGTCCTTAGGAGGTGGGACACTCATGTGTCCACGACCCCCAAGCCCTTGTCCCACACCCCAGCGACACCTGACTGCCTCTTGCTGTGCCTGGCAGGGTCCAGCTGGGGCTGTCACCCTCCTGCCCTGTCCGCATCCTGACCTCCAGGTGTCAGCCGTGGACGCACTGGCCCTGGGTCCTCCAGGGGACATGCTCCCCTTTACAGGGAGGAAGCAGAGGCTGGGGCCATGTGTATGGGGCACCGGGCAGTGGGGGCTGGTGTCCTAAGCACTGACCGTTTCCAGGCCCTGCAGGAGAAGGTGCCCAGGGTGCTTTATCCCACCTGCACCCTAGGGCCTTGGTCCTAGCGTGGGGATACACCACCTGGAGGACCCTGGGTGCCAGGGGCCACAGGCTGCACGTTCTACTTGGGCTGGACGGCACCCGCCAGCACTGGGGCTTGTGGTACCCGCAGGCCGAGGCTGGGCTGCTGTCCCTGCACTCGGTGTGCCCAGCATCGAGCGTCCTCCTGGCCCCAGCTCCCACACCTCCTGGCTCTCCTGGTATCCTTGCCCCACCCCCACCTTTGGGACGCCTCATACTTGCCCCCTCCAACCACCACCAGCCCCAGGTGCCCTGGGCATCCCCAGCTGCAGGCTGCGTCTCTCACCTGAGGCCCAGGGGCTCAGCCTGCATCCCCTCACCTGCTCCCTTGGCCATCATTTCCACACCACCCTGGCCCCCACGCCCCTTGGTCTGCACATCGTGACAGCGTCAGCTTGCTGCCCACTTCTGTGCCCCATGCAGGCCCTGCGCACTGGGTGAGGGCAGCCCATGCCCCACGGGCCCCGGAGCTGGAGATAGCAGGCTGGGCAGGTGAATGGAGGGCGGGCCCAGAGGAGCCAGAGCTACGTCACATAACCTGCGGAGTGAGCGTGGCTGTGCCTGCTGGGCCCTCAGGCTGGGGCCACGTTCTGCCTTCGGACACTCCAATTCAGGGACTACCAGGGCCTGGCCGCGTGGTGAGGGCATCCTGCCAGGACAGCTGGGCACACGGCCAACCTCCATGTGACCTTTGCAAGGGTGAGCAGGGCAGCTGGAGGGGCCCTGGGAGGCCAGGGCCAGGGTGCTGGGGTCAGACCAGGTGGAGCCATGCTCCCGGGTGGGCTGCAGCCTCGGGGGGCAGAGCAGGCCATGCCTGACCGCCATGCTGGCCCAGGCAGGTGTTGAGAGTCCCTGAGCCCTGCAGCCTGTGCTCCCCGACTTCCTTTCTGGGTTGTGCGGACCATTTCCCTCCCCATCCTCCAGGAGGCCCTGGGTAGCACAGTGGCAGGAGCCCCAAGGCCAGTCCGTGGTCGACTCTCCGTTGCTCTGAGATGCCTTGCAAAGGAGGAAGGTCCAGAGGATCTTCCCGTGGCCCTGGCCCTGTGGGAGACAGTGGCTCCTGGCAGCCAGGAGGACAGGAAGAGGAGGGGGCGACATCCTGGGGGGCAGCCCCTGGGGCCCCAGCTCCCCGCCTCCAAGGAGCTCTGCCTAGAAGCACCCGGGCTATGACCTCTAGGCCCCTGCAGTCTGAGCCCACCTGCTGTCATGTGAGGGCCTGGGGAGGGGCAGCAGGAAACACGGGGACCAAAGGGCCCGTTCATGGACAGTGGTGTTCTCTGCAGCTCCAGCAGGACAGGCGCAAACTGCAGTGTCAAGAGGCCCATGCTCTTCTTTATGGCGCCCGGAACTGACCCAGGCCCTTGCCCAGGCTGGACGAATGTTCCACTGGGCTACTTCCCAGGCCTTCCTGTGTTTTTATGTCCAGACAGGATCCAGCAAGTTGCTTGGGCAGGCCTTGGACTCGCAATCCTCCTGTCTCAGCCTCCTGAGTAGCTGAGATCACAGGTGTGCACCACCATTCCCAGCAGGTCCACATGATTTCTATGACATGAATCCACATATTTTATTACTGACTTCCTTCAATGGTCAATTTTATTATAAAGAATGGTATCAAAATATACGAATCTGTTTAACAACAATCAAGAAATGCAGCTGTTTAAAGGCCAAGAGTATCAACTGTTTCAAGGCAGCAGCGGCTCTCTCTAGCCGTCCACCTGGAGGAGTGGGGCAATGTCCACAGAGCCAGGGTTCCCGCAGGACACCTCTCTGAATAACTTAAAGGGAGAGTCTGGGTAAGGTCACAAGTCCTCACGGGGGGGCGGCAGTGTCGGGGTTTCTCCTGTGGCTTCTGTTGGGAGACACAGGTCACTGAGTGAGACACCAGGTACATGGGACTCCTGTCCTGACCACCAGCTGGCCACAGCCTGGCGACGCAGCCAGCTCCCTGTGCCCGCAGCAGACTTCTAAGGTGGCTTCAGGACAATATGCCACAGCCCTACGCTGGCACCCAGGCCTCTCCAAGCCCCGCACGGCCACCGTGTGGGACGCTCTCCTGACCAAGGCTGAGCCCTGGGGCGAGGCGCCAGGTGTCACAGGCTGCAGTCCTGCCTTGTGGTGCTCCAGGGTGTGGAACCACATCGCAGTCTGGAAGACTTGGCTGTGAGCGCTCTGAACCTGCCTCGCTCCAACTCTCCCTATTCTACAGCCGGGCGCGTTGCAGCTGACCTGTCTCCAGAGGGCTGCTGGTGTCCCACCACTAACCCCGAGACCACGGTACTGTTTGGAAACTGGGTCTCTGTGACGGTCAGAAACGCTGGGTATCTGGGGGGGCCTTGGACTGAGGTGCTGTCCTCGTGAAGTCTGGGTGGGGACAGACTATGCACAGAAGGCCACGTGAGGACAGGGAGGAAACAGCCAGGACACACCTCGCACAGCCTGAGAGCAGCCAGCCCTTGGAGCCCCAGCCTGGCCCCACCAGCTGACGCAGACCCTGAGTGGGGCCACGCGCTCTTCTGCACCCGGCACCCCTATACCACAACTGCAGCCCGACTCCCAGCTCTCATCCACTGCCCTGCTGCTGTCCACGTCCCAGGGAGCCAGGGCTCCGCAACGCCATCCTGAGGCCCGGACTGCTAACTCCCCCAGGCAGGAGGCCCCAGGCTACACAGCCGTGTCTGCAACGCCACCAGCCGCACACTCACCGCCCTCAGCTGGCAGCACGCACGCGTCCTCCGTCTCTTCGGAGCCGTCGGGACACACGCAGACGAAGCTCCCTGGGGTATTGTAGCAGTTTTCATTCTTCCTCATACACACCTTTTCTGCTAGTGAGCACTCGTCTATGTCTGAAGTAAAACACCCATTGCGAGAAGTTATTTCATTCAGCCAACATACACCAGTGAACGAGACTCATCCACCTGCACGTCACCTGTACAAGGTGCAGACCACAACCGCCATGCAGAGATGGGGCAGAGGCCAGGAGGGGCTGTGACCACGCCTCACACCCAAGGCTAGGCTTGCCGCTGGCAGGGAGCCCCGTGGTGCACGGCAGTGCACGCACACACTGCAGGTGGCCTCGGGCCACGGAGTGAAGTCCCGGAGCTGATGCCACAGGTGGCTGAGGCACATGTGGCTCGTCCAGAGACCCTCGGGGCCAAGGCCGAGCAGCCCCGCCCCCCTGCAGCACACTGACCTGCACACTGCCCGCTCTCCTTCGTGTAGCCGAGGACACACTCCTTGCACTTCTCTGGGCCTTTCCCTGTGCACCCCACGCAGGTGGAGTCGCATTCTGGAAAGGAGGGGAGACGTCAGCCCACCCGCCCCATCCTTTGTCGGCATCTGACATGATGCTCCTGGGTGGGAACTTGGGCTTCCCTCTCGCGAAGCACCATGGTGACTGCCTGATGACTGCCTGTTCTGCCCCAGCCGTGCTTCCGAGAAGCAGCCTCGGACGTGCAATCCAACTCCCATCCGTGTGACGGGCCGGCTCGCTCCCTAAGAGCTTCGTGAGTCCCTGAGCGAGAACCCTGAGAAGTTACCGTGCCCCCGCAGTCAAGGACGTTGCTGCTGGCAGTGAAGTCAGCCCTGCTGCGGCGGGACACTGAACTGGCACAACCGCCCTGGGACGACCTGGCCCTCCAGTTTGAAAGGTGGAGTGTTACCCAGGAGGATATTTCAAGTGCAGTGAGCTGGGAAAACTATGGACTCAATGTTCAACAACAGACTGGCACGCCCCCCGCTCACTAGTGCGATGTACAAAGATTTTTCTGCCATCAGTACCTCTTGTTTTTGCCACGTCAGATGTTTTAAAAACTGAACACTCTGAAGTTACGGCAAGAAGTCGCAGACATTGAGGGAAGAGACAGAGCCCTGGCGGGGCCCAGAGAGGACGAGCACGCCAGTGTCCCCAAACCCAGGCTACCTTCGCAGGCATAGGAGCCGGCAACGTTCTCACAGTAGTGGGTGTCGTTGCAGGGAGGGGTGTCCGCCGCACACTCGTCCACATCTGTAAGAGAACAGCACAGTCCGGGGCCGGCTGGCAGACGGACCACTTGAGACCGGCCACAGACGGCAGGGAGGGAGGCAGCTCCTGTCCTGAGGCCTCCACTGGGCAGGGTGGGAACCCCTGGGATGGCTGGCTGGCGAGTGAGCACCCACCCCAGGCCTTGCCTGCCCAGCTCAAGCTGTGAAACCTGAGGGGGCCCAGTGCCTAATCTGCCTAAGGCCAAAGAGCTACTAAGGGGTGAAACCAAAACCCACAGCCACAGAGGGTGGAGGGTGGCCCACTGCCGGGCACCTGGACTCCAAGAGGTGCCACAAGAGTGGGTTTGCAGTGCCACGCTCAGACAGCAGGAGCAGGTGACAGGTAAGACACCACAGGTGCAGGTGGTGGCCATGGGGCTGGCGCATGGGCAGAGCACACCGCAGACAACAGGGCCACAGTGTGGACCCCAGAGCCGGCCTGGCTGGGGGCCCAGCCAGGACATGAGCTGCCTTTCTCCCTGCCTGTCTGTGGCCCGTCTCAAGCTGCTAGGAGATGGGTGTCAGGGTGGCCACAGCCACAGGGGCCTGGAGCACAGGAGTGGCCCTTCCACGGTCAGTGGCCCTCACCCACACAGGCGTCCTCCACCTGCGCCCAGCCGACTTCGCACTCGCCGCAGTCCCTGTTGGTCGGCCCCAAGCATGTCCTGCAGGACTCGTCACAGGCTGCAAGGCAAGAGCTGCGTCAGGACAGCCTTAGGGCACGTGGGACCCTTTCCGGGAACACATGTAGAGGAAAGCTCGTGCTGGGAACTGAAGTTCAGCAGGGGAGCAGAACACGAGAGCGAGAAGAACAGCAGCAAAGAGCTTCCTGAAGCTCAGAACACCCCCCTGGGCTTTGCACCGTGAGCTGCGAAATGCTCAGCCTACCACAGCACTGCACGAGTTCTTACAACCTGGAGATGGCTCCCTAGACCCTGGGGCCCACGCTGCGGGACTCAGTACCATCACTGACCGAGTGGCCACATGCCATGCCCACAGCTGAGAGGTGGAGGGCCAGAGCAGGAGCGGAGCCGTGGGGCAGCCAGACTCACAGCTTTCCAGTGCGCCAGTGACCGCAAGGGCGGGTGCACCGTGCACAGCACCCCCTCAGCAGGACAGCTTTCCCGGCGGGGGGAGCTGTGCGGGACCAGGCTCCAGGTCAGGAACGCCTGCCAAGGGGCCTTCCTGTCCCCACCGTCCCCTGCTCCCTCTGAGCTAGTGTGAGCGGCTCACCCCTGCCCTCGCACTCTGCTGAGGGTTGCCGTGGCCTCACAGACACCCAACAGGGCCCTCAAGGGACCAGCAAGCTTTTAGCCAGAACGTTGCGGGTACTCAGTGGAGCACAGCCCACGCTCCGTGTCAGGACCAAGAACCAAGGGTGGCTCATGCCGGTGACAGAACCTGCCACTCACTGGGTTGAGGCCTTGGTTCTTTCTAGAGGGCTGGAAGGGGCAGGCAGTGTCCTGGGATTGGCTGTCGAGGGATGTCTTGGAAGTGCCATGTCTTCAGGCCTCCTTTGCTCCCCTGGGACCTGAGCTGAGTCTACAGGCGCCCTGCCCCGCCTTCGCAGCCCAGCCCAGGGCCGCCCCTACCTGTGCAGGTGCTGTGGGTCTCGGTCTTCAGTGACTGGAAGTAGCCGTCCACGCAGTCAGCACACACTGGCCCCTTGTAGCCTGGGTGACACTGGCAGGAGCCATCCCCCTCTCTGCTGCCATCTCCGCTGCACCGGCCGTTCCCACTGCAAGGCCTCTCGGATCCACCCTGGCACGCTAGAGGGCACAGACCCGTGCTCAAGGCACCAGGGGTGGCTGCTGTTTGGGTCTCTCCCTAAAACCCAAGCTCTGTTGGAGAGACTACCAATCTGCAAAGGTAGTCTGCTGTTTGGGTCTCTCCCTAAAACCCACCCTGCTGAAGAGACTAGCAGTCTGCTAAGGGCGTTAGGGGACAGTGGCCGTGGGGCCCGCAGAGCCAAGGTGGAGTCACCTGCACAGGAGAGAGCTGTGGCTCCCAATTTAATCACTAAGTGTGGATTCAGGAAGTGTCCTCTAAAACAGGGAAAAGGACGCTTATGCATCTAGCGTGGGGGACCACACAGCCGGGGAAAGTGTGAGAGATGGACAGGAAGTGGCTGCAGCCCACGTAGGTGCTGAACTTGAAACTTCTGCCACCCCACCCAGCCTGGTCCACACAAGCAGCTTCTGCAAATGCCAGGAGTAAGCCCAGCTCCACCTCAGCACACACTTCTCAGGAGCACCCGCCAGGCCCCACCTTGAACCTCTCTAACCGGGTCTTTGCCGAACAGATGGGCTCCTATGTGACGTCTGTGACTTGACCTCAGCTCTCTAGCCCAGGGAGGATCTCCTCAAAATTAAGCCATCGGACATCTACAGGCCTGGGTACAGGTGCCCCACAGCACGTGCTGGGGACTTTTGTTGCCTATTCTATGAAAGAGGCAGGGCCCCAGATGCTAATGTAGTCCAGGTATCGTCTGTGTGTTTAACCCATGGGGATCAGAAAAATAAAAAGAATGCAGACGAGATCTGCCCAAGGAAATCGTACCACGACAGTCTGGCCCATAGGTCCCCGGAGAACAGCACACTTCCAGAGTCTGCACACAGAACCACTCAAACAGGTCAGGGTGCTCCTTCTTCCTGAGGATGTAAAACTGTCACTAGCTCTCAGATGACAAATGTGCTGTGAGGCAACTTCTCCCTGCACGATATGCTCCAAGACCCCCACACCAAAACCTGTATATGCTATGTATTTATCTGCACGCCCATACCTAAGAGAGTTTAACATATATTAGGTACAGTAAAAAAATAACTAATAATAAAGCTGGGCATGGTGGCGCAGCCTGTAACCCCAGTATTCAGATGGCTGAGGCAGGAGGATTGTTGCAAGTTTGAGACCAGCCTGGGCTACAAAGCGAGCTCAAGGCCAGCCTGAACTGCACAGTGAGACCCTGTCTCAAAAAGACAAAACAACCCACAAAAAAACAAAAAGCAAAACACAAAAAACCTAGTAATAAAATAACAAATGCAATAAAGTGTTGTACTAAGTGATGTAAAATTTGCGGATGACTTGACTCTGGGACTTTCCAAGTCACATCTTCAGACTGAAGCTGGCGGTGGGAACTAAGCAATGGAAAGCCACCCCGGGGCTGGGACACTACATGCTCGGTGGCTGTCCAAGAGGGGACACGGGCCCTTCTAGGGAGCTTCCTGGCACGGCAACCTTGCGCAGCTAAGACGGGACCACTGCTTCTGCAACTTCTCTGATGCAACGCAAGGCTGTCAGCCTGGGTCCCCGCACTCACAGCCGATGCCACCAGGCCTCCAGGTGCTCCTCCTGCTGTTCCAGCAGCTGGTTACACTCGAAGTCGCTGCTCTGGCACAAACCCTCCATGATCTCCAGGAGCCGGATCTCGCTGCAACAGGAACCCCCAGGACCCCAAGGACTACTTTACAGGCTTGCCGGGCCACAGGACTCAGCCCATTTTGGTGATGGAAACCGGGACCTGAATGCACACCTCCAACGGCACCTGGGGGCTGTCAAGGGGCTGGGCTCCGGGTGAGGGGAAAGGGAGCCAGGAGGCCCTCGGGTGGAACGGGGGTTTCGCTGGACCTGTTCAAAAGGCCCCCTGTGTGAGCAGTGGCCTTAGGGACACCGGGGAAGCCGCAGCTCAGCAGCCCCGGGGCAGCGCACAGGGCCGGCGAGGAGCATCGAGGGACCTGCGTGCCCGTCCGCAGGGCCGGACGCTGGGCTGCCCGGAGGCCGGCCCGAAGCCAGGTGCCCAGCACCCACCTGAACTCGTACTTGGACAGCGTCTTCTCCTCCCAGGCTGTGTTGCCGCCACCGAAGTTCTTCTTGGCCGTGTTGGCCATGCCCTGCGGAGGAGGCGGCACTGGCTCTACGCGGCCCAAGGCGCGACCCGCGCCGTCCTGGGGGGCCCCAGACTCGTCCCCGCGGCGCCGACCCTCGAGGCCCCAGCACTGGTCCGCGGCCCCAGCCCACCTGGTTGAACTTGTCCACCAGCGTTCGGCACTGCCGGCAGGGTGCCGTCTTCCGGGCAGTTCCCAGCGCGGGCGGCAGCACAAGCAGCAGCGGCAGCAATAGACCGAGCGCGACGCGGGGCTGCGGGCGCATGGCGGGCGGGCGACCGGCGGCGTAGTGCGACGGACCGCTCCGCCTCCGCCCACCCGGCCCGCGCCGGCCGTTCCCGGGGCTACTTGCCGGTGCCGCCGAGGCCCCGCCCCAACCGCAGCCGGCGCGCGGCCATTGGCTGACGGGATCCGCCCCGTCCTGACGTGACCCAATCCGCACTCGCCACGAGCGGAGACCAATGGGGAGGCCCCGGGTCAGCGTCCAGCGGGAGGGGAGCCGGCCACCGGTCAGAGGCCGTTCTCGTGCCCCGCCCCTCGCACGCGCAGCTCAGGGCACCCATTTTTTTTTTTTTTTTTTTTTTTAAAATGGCACCCATCTTTACTCCGGGCGAAGAAGGCGCTCCACTGTGGTGGCAGCCGGGCTGTGGTGGCCATGTTAGGTTTGGGCAAGGGCTTCATTTCCGTGTCTTGTTTCCGCCACCTCGCTTCCGGCGGAGCGCAGCCCCTGCGATCAAACTGAGGGACGGCGTCGGGGGCGGGAGAGGTTAGCTCGTGCCGCGGGGGCTGGGGCTCTCGGGGGCGGCGAGGCCGGGGCTCTCGCGGCGGGCGGCAGAGGCACCGAGCAGGTGTTGGCTGCAGCGTTTCTCGGGCCTTGTCGCGCGTGGCGGCCGTCGACCTCCTCACCGAGGCGCAGATTTCTGCCTGGTGCCGCGCTTCTCTCCTGGGCGCCGGGCTCCTCACCTGGTGGGTGGGACCTCACCTGGAACCGGCCTGCACCCGAGCACCTGCGCCTGTCCCGCGGCTTCGGGGGCCCAGGAGTCAGCAGTTCCAGGCGTGCCCGAGGCGGGGGGCACGCACTGACCCTTGGGAAGAGCTGGCTGAACCGAGGCAGAGTAAAGTGCACGTTGTCTGGATTTTAAAGAATTCCTGTTGGCGGTGTAGGAAGAGTAAGCAAAAGGAAGACCTGCAAATAACTCAGAGTTTTATGTGGTTTGAATTGGCCGCAGGTCTAATTTGCGCCCGGTCGTTTCCGTTCCCAGCTGAGAGACTAGTAATTTGAATTTAGGATCTGATCATTTTAGGGAACCCAAATTGATAGAGACAGAAGGCCTTTGAGGGCCGCTTCCTAGTCGCTCCGCCACATTGGTCAGCGTGGGCTGCGCCTGTTAGACCCTGTGCGTGCCCAGGCACCTGCCACTCCAGATTAACAGGGCTGCTGAGCAGCTGCCACGCGTGGCGCCGGCCCTCCCCGGCGCGGCTGGGTGGCCCCGTGTCATGCTCCGCGGTGGGCTTTCTTACAGTGGGTCTTTGGTGCCTTTGCAAGGACCGCGGTTGCTCCTCAGGGGCAAGCATGACCCTCTCGGGCGGGAGGGTCAGAGTGGGTTCTGCAGGCAGCATTTCCCCCCACAGCTTGGATTTACCTTGCGGCCCTCAGCTGGACTGCGTGCAGGTCCTGCACAGCTGTGGGAGGTGTGTCAGTGCTTCCTCTTTCCGTACCTTTCCTTTTTCCCAGACGGTGGGCGGAATGGACAGTATCTCGGGAGTGTTTTGTGGCCTCTGCATTCCAGGAGTTAAGGCCTTGGCGTATTCCCAGTATGAGGAGGTCCCTGTTCCGAGGTTTCACTGAGTTTCTTCCCCAGCTAGTTTGTGGAGTGGCCCCTGGGCACTGGCAGCCAGCCCTGCCCCAGGATGTGAGTTCAGACCTCCCGCATGGCGTCCGTCAGCCACTGGGCCGGCTTCTCGAGGACAGGCTCCGTCTCGGGTTGAGGTGACAGTGGTGGGGAGAACAGCCGATGCCCTGCTGTTGTGGAGCTTAAAAGAGGGAGACAGATAGACTGCAGCACCTTCCTCTGTCCAGGCGCACAGCATTTCTAACTGGCTGATGGATTTTTCTCGTGGTACCAAGTTTTTAATATTTGGGAAAGGGAAAAAGTTACATCGTTCTAACAGGAACTGCATGCCATTTTGGTCACCCTAAAATTCTTAGGTCTCTTTTCCCTTTCCCTCCCCTCCATCCTATGGGATCTCTGCTCCTTCTGGTCTGCTGCGTTCTCCCCTTGATGGCCTGCTGCTTGCTGGCTCTGGAAAGTAGAGACTTAACTCTGATTGTGTAGAGGTGTTAACAGTGAGAGTCATGGCTCTCCCCCTTGGCTTCTGATCCTTCTGGTTTTGACAGAATAAGATCAAGGGGGCTGGGGATGTAGCTCAGTGGTAGAGCGCTTGCCTAGCATGCACAAGGCCCTAAGTTCAATCCCCAGTACCACCAAAAAAAAAAAAAAAAAAAAAAAATCACCCTTGTTTTGAAACAACTCAGACATGCAGCTGCATTTGTTCCTCATCCCCCATCTTCTGGGTGTTAGCCCCTGAGTCTCATGGGTTCTCGGGAAGCTCCCTGCTGGGGCTCCCCAAGGTCATCCTGTTAGTATTTGGGTGACCACTTCGGGCAGCATGAGTTTCTCCTGGAGAAAGCCTGCTAGCCCCGCGACCCTCCGGGTGAAATTCTATAGCGTCCATAGCCCTGCTGTCCTGGCATGGGAGTTCTGGCTGCCCTGTGCCCTGTGTCCCTGGCAGCTGTCCCTCTCACCGTCCATGTGTGTTCCTCCTACTCAGCTCCCACCTCGAAGCCACCCACTCCCCGTCCTGTGGCTGGTTCAGGAGGCCAGTGGGTTTGTCTCACTACCCTCCTGGCCAGGTGTGGAGCTGGTTCTGCAGCTGGCATCTCTCTAGGAGACCCGAGAGCTGTTAGGACTGCAGGCTTCTCCTCCCTGACTTCTTTCAGGATCACAGGAGTTGTGAGAGTAGCAGGGCTGGCCCTTCCCCAGACCTTGCAGGCATGACTCAGGGCTTCTGAAACGGGAGTCCGGCTCTTCTTCAGGTGCATGGCTGGCGGTACTGACGGCTGTGCTGGGAATGTACTTCAGGTGCCGCTCCCATGGCTAGGAAGAGGTCATCAGGCAGGCAGTCCCCACTGCCGCTGCTGGGGCTGCTGGTCTCAGTTGCTGCTGTCCACCTTGTCGTCTGTCCCTACACCAAGGTGGAGGAGAGCTTCAACCTGCAGGCCACACATGACCTGCTCTTCCACCAGCTGGACCTGGATGAGGTGAGGCCACTGCCCCACCCGGTGGGTGAGGGTCTCAGTTTGTCCCCAGTCCTCTTGCTGACACTCCCGTCCTTGGCTCCTTTGCAGTATGACCACCACGAGTTCCCTGGTGTCGTGCCTAGGACGTTCCTGGGGCCACTGTTGCTCGCAGCATTCTCTAGCCCTGTGGTGTGTGTGCTCTCGCTGCTGGAAGTGTCCAAGTTTTATTCTCAGCTGATAAGTAAGGGGGTCTTCAAACGAGGGGAGCATGGTGGCGTCATCCCAGGACGTCAGGCAGTGGGCCCACATTCAGTCACATCGGCCTGGTGGTCAGACCTGCCTGGGTGTGGGGGCACACACACCATGTGTGGGGTGAGGCACTGTCCTGCAGGGGCCCTGCTCCCCTTTGGATCCCAGAGCTTTTGCTATAGGGACGGCACACTGCACTGGGGACATGTAGACAAACCTTGCCTCCCAGGGGCCGTCACGCTGGCCTGTTCGCAGGTCCTTCTGGGCCTCCCTGTGTCTGTGTGAGAGCTTTTAAATAATTTTAATGGAGACATGGTACTAGCACTCAGGGCTAGAGAGTGATCATTCCACGTATGCATACAGCGTGTAATGACTCCCCTGTGTGTATCACTTCCGTGTGCAGGGAACCTAGTTTCCTTTTTATTTTCTTGTTATTTTGAGACAGGGCCTCACTTTGTAGTTCAGGCTGGCCTTGAATTCCATATGTAGCCCAGGCTGACCTCAAGCTTGCTCAGACAGATCCTACCTCAGCCTCTCGTGCTGGGATTACAGGTGCACGTCACTACGCCCAGGCAATGTTTGTAGGGAACCTGGTAACCCAGGATGTGGCCATAACCACCACATGGGTCACAGGGAAGTCCTGCCTGTGGTGTGGAGGTGGCAGGGAGCCCAGTGGGGTGCTGGGCCATGTTGGGGCAGAGGTCTGCAGGTGCCCAGCGTCTGGGTGCACCTCCCCCAGTGGCTTCTGCAGATTCCCATGGAGTGCTCTGACAGGACCCTCGGCGTCACCATCCTGTCTGCCCGACATCAACGTGCTGTCTTTGTTTCTTTGTTTAGTCAGAGGAGTGCTTGGGCTGGGCGTGATTTGGGGACTGTGGACATTACAAAAAGAAGTGAGGCGGCAGTTTGGGGCTACAGTGGCCACCATGTTCTGCTGGGTGACAGCCACACAGTTCCACCTGATGTTCTACTGCACGCGGACACTGCCCAACGTGCTGGCCCTCGCCGTGGGTATGTAGTAGCGGCTGGGCCGCGGACACTGCTTCGCAGGTGTGAGCATGTGTCTCCCTGCAGCAGCTGCTCCGTGGGTGCCTGGGGTCCCTGTGCTTAGGGTGGGTTCCTGTGCACCCCCCAGCGGGCAGCAGTGTGAGGAAAAGGCGATGCGCCCCCTCGCACGGTGCTCTTCCTGGCCCGCCCCTGACCTCCGTCTGCTCTTCGCAGTGCTGCCAGCCCTGGTGGCGTGGCTGCAGCACCTCTGGGCCCGCTTCATCTGGCTCTCGGCGCTGGCCATCATCGTCTTCAGGGCTGAGCTGAGCCTGCTGCTGGGTCTGCTGCTACTGCTGTCCCTGTTCCGCCGACGGCTGTCCATGGCCACGCTGCTCCGCCACACAGTGCCTGCGGGGATGCTCTGTCTCGGTGAGCCAGATTCCCTAGGGGTTGCTGAGTGGATTGTGTGTTGCTTTGTTTTACAAACCCAAGTTTGGCTTAAAAAAAAAAAATGGTTAAATACATTTACTGGGCCAGGGATATACCTCAGTGGCACAGCGCCTGCCTGGCAAGTGCAAGGTCCTGAATTAGATTCCTGGTACCAAGAAAAAAACCAAACAAACATTTACCTTAACTTTTAAAATGATGCCGTCCAGCTGTGCCCCTGCTGTACTCTGGCAGTGGCTCCCACAGCCCTTAAGCCGAGGCGGGCCGGGGGTGACCTCGCTCAGGAAGCACTGTCCCCAGTGCGGTTGGCTCCTTGCGTGCGAAGCCACTCAGTGTGCGAGCCACGTGGGCTGGATTGTGGGGGCTGGCATCCTGTGGCACAGAACTTGGGTCCAAGCCTGAGCCTCCTATGTGTCTGTACCTGTTATGAGGATGTTTCATTCTGTTATCAGGACTGACGGTTGCTGTGGACTCCTATTTCTGGAGATACCTCGTGTGGCCCGAAGGGACGGTGCTGTGGTATAACACAGTCCTGAACAAGAGCTCCAACTGGGGCGTATCCTTCCAGCTGCCTCCTGGCTGGGAGGCCCTGGGGGAGCCGGGCAGCTGTGGAAGCATCAGGACCCGTGCCCCCTTCTGCTGCTTCTGGGACTGCTCTGGGCCAGGGGGCCTGGCCTCCAGCTGCTGCGCCTGTGGAGACCCCTCCTGGGGACAGCCACCCTGTGGGTGATGTGTGCATGGCCTCCTTAACCCGCCTGCAGACCTCCCCGCTCCTGTGGTATTTCTATTCGGCCCTGCCCCGCGGCCTGGGCTGCAGCCTCCTGTTTGTGCCCCTGGGCGCCATGGACCGAAGGACCCACGCGCTGACGCTGCCGGCCCTGGGCTTCGTCGCCCTGTACTCGCTCCTTCCGCACAAGGAGCTGCGCTTCGTCATCTACGCCTTCCCAGGGCTCAATGTCGTGGCCGCCAGGGGCTGCTCCTACCTGTGAGTGCGCTGTGGGGTGGCACTTAGCTGTACTTTCTTCTTTTTCTTTTCCTGCTTTCTCCTTCTTGAGGCTGGGGGTAGAACCCAGGGCCGTACGCGCTGGGGGAGTCTCGCCCCTGAGCCGCCCAGCCTGGCGCTTGTCAGTCTCTGCTCGTCTACGGTGGGATGGAGTTTATGGTGAACGTGGGAGCGTGGTGTGGGCACTGTGCTCCTCCTGAGCCGTGGCAGCGGCCTCGCTGGGCCCCTGTCTGGCTGTTCTCTGCCAGTCACTGGCTGCCAGTCTGTTCCTGTCCACATGGGGCTTTGCCAGCTCCAGGGTTGGTTCCTGAGGAAAAGTTGCAGGTGGTGGCACTGGTCATGGAGCTGGGACTCAGACAGGCTCCACATCTACTGGCCGACGGGTCAGGTGGGTCGCCAGGTCAGGGCGACTGCCTCTCTGGGTGGACCTGGTGTGGGGGAGGCAGGGAGGTGCTGCTGCTTCTGTGGGGGGAGCAGTGAGGCCCAGGCGTGGGGTCACTGGAGGCTGGGCTCTCTACGCGGCCACCACACTCATAGTGTTGCTGGCCCCTGGGAGCTGGAGCTCGCACTGCCCATTTCTTCGTGTGGACTGGAGAAGACCCAGCCGAGGCGGCCAGCCATGCCACGGCCAGAACTCACCAGCTGGTGGGAACAGTGGGTGTCTTGGTGCCTGAGAGGCACAGAGGCCTCACTCTGGAGGGGTGAGGAAGCTGTGATGCAGTCCCTGGATGGGGCGCGGTGGCCCAGGCACGGGGTGCCCACCTGCCCTCGGGGTCCTGCCCCATCCCAACACGCACCAGTGGGCCAACACCTCGGAGAAGCCTGCCCGCCGTCACCCGACCTGCCTGTAGCACGGCCCGGTCCCTGTCACTCTCACTGCCGTGTCTTTGCCCCGGTCAGGCAAGCTTTTATTAAATCTGCCCCTTGCTTTTTCCTCATAGCTGCCTTCCATTTCAGGCCAGCTCAGAGCTCTAAAGAGGGTGTAGACCCCAACCTGCATCCTGGGGAGGCCAAGGTTGGGGAGATAGAGTGGCTGGATGGGTTCTGTGCCACCATGCACCTTGTACCAGGGCCAGGGTCACTGTGAGCTAGACTCGGCTTGTCCAGATCAGGAGGCAGGGGACGTGGAGGCGTCAGGCGGTGAGTGGTCTGAGCACACTGGCCTCATCCAGTGGGGAGCAGCTTCCCGGATGTGCCTGCCGTGGGGATGAGCTGTCCCTGGGGGCCTTTGGGGGCCTGAGGCAGCTCTGGGTAGTCAGGTGTATATCTCCATGGGCAGAGAGTGGCTTTCTGGTCACTGCTGCAGGACTCACCTTGCCTGGCACCAGCAGCAGTTCCCATATCCCTGTGTGCTTGCGACGGTGTCGCCCCAGGACGCAGCCTGGTTTGTTCTCATCCCTGGTCAGGGTACAGGTGGGCCAGTCCAGAGGAGGACCAGAGCTGAGTGTGTTTGGTGGCGGCCTCGGCTGGCACTTTGCTGTGAAGGGCCAGAGAGCATACATTCCTGTCCTGCTGGGCCACCCAGTCTGGCGCGTAGCTGCCATCACTAAGCACCAGGCACAGGTGATGGGAAAGGCACAGGCAGCATAGGTCCTCAAAGCTGTTTGTAAAATCAGCCCTTAAAGAGACGGAGCCACAGACCAAGCAACAAGAGTAGTCTGCTGATCAGGGCTGCAGCTGGGTGACACGGTTCAGCGGAAACATTTTTCGGGTCTGACAGGAGCAGACAAACCCTAGGCGACACCAGCAGGTGCTGAGCGGGGCCCTGGGCCGGGAACCCTGGTTGGCACAGGCAGGCAGGCGACTTGAGACAAAGTGAAGCAGTTCTCAGAGAGGAGCGGAAGGACAGAGCAGTGACCCTCTGGGGCAGGGAGGCAGTCGGCCTGGTGGCGCTCAGAAGACACAGCTCAGAGCAGTGATGCAGGATGTGGCCTGGCCTGGGGTCCCACGTCGGGAGGCAGGTGAGGCTGAAGCCTCTCGTTCCTCCTGGCTGGTACCCTGGGTCCTTCCATCTCCTCTTTGATCCTAACTTTCCCAGCAAGATCAGGCAGTAAGCCGGGCATGCAGTAACCCGGCCTCAACCTGATCAGTAACCGGGAGTTTTTGAAAACTGAAGTTTTAGGTGGGTGTCTTGGGCGGCATTTCAGAGTTCCTAAGGTAGTATTTTAAGCACGTGTTGAGCAGCGTGTGTTCAGTGATGAACTCGGTGCGGTTGGAAGCAGGCCGTGTGCCGTGCCCCGTGGCCCGTTACCTGTGTGCCGTCAGATATTGGCCTTTCCCTGCCGCTGTCCCGAATGTGCCTGTTCCTTTTCAGTCTGAATAATTACAGAAAGTCTCGGCTGTACAAGGCGGGGACCCTGCTCGTGTTTGGACACCTGCTGGTGAACGCCGCCTACACGGCCACGTCCCTCTACGTGTCCCACTTCAACTACCCTGGGGGTGTGGCCATGCAGCGACTGCATGAGCTGGTGGCCCCTGGGACAGGTCAGTGCTGGTGCAGCCCGGGGCGGCGAGCCCCCACTGGGCACGAGGCTGAGCCCGCCCCGCCGCTGGGCGCGAGGCTGACCCCGCTTGTTTCCCAGACGTCCTCCTGCACATCGACGTGGCTGCTGCACAGACCGGGGTGTCAAGGTTCCTGCAGGTCAACAGTGCCTGGAGGTATGTGTCCACAGCGCGGGGCTGCCGGTGCCCCGTGGGTGCCCTCAGGGCCCCCACGCACACGGGCACAGGTGGGCGCAGCCTGCTCTCCTCCCCAGGTATGACAAGAGGGAAGACTTGTCGCCCGGCGCGGCGGGCATGCTGGCCTACACCCATGTCCTCATGGAGGCTGTGCCCGAGCACCTCGCCCACTACAGGGACACCCACCGCGTCCTGGCCGGCATCGCAGGCACCACTGGTGTGAGTCTGAACCTCACCAGACTACCTCCAATAGATGTCAACCTGCAGACGAAGCTGGTGCTTCTGGAGCGACTTCTCAGGCCGTCCTGAGGGCCAGCCCTGGTTGCTTGGTGAGCAGCAAGGGGCCCAGGGTGGGCCTTACTGGCACCCAGAGCCGCTGTTGAGGACACGTGGCCCTGCACCTCCCATGTGCCACCAGGGTGGGCAGCAGGGCCATGTATTGCCAAGCCCAGGCACCCCTGTGTCCACAGGGGCACAGGGCCAAGCCAGGACGGCCCCAGTGCCCAGCCGTGGTGGCTCTGGTGAGCACAGGGTCCCTGCTGCCGGAGCATCTTCTCCACTCCAGATGGAGCTGGTAGGAGAGAACATGTTCAAAAGGCAATGAGAATAAACTTTAGCATTTGCTTAAACAGTGTCCTGTGGTATGTGTCACCCTGGAGACGGCCTTGCCCAGGTGCCACCCACCTGAAGGGCAGTTTGAGGCTTTTGTGCCACCTCAACATCCATGCAGAGTGTGGCCCTGCTAGGCACTGGCTTGCTGCTGTGTGCAGAGGCACACGCCACACACCGCACCTGTGCTATGCGTGCATCTCACGCTGCACATACCACACAGAGGTCATTTTTCTGAGCCTTTTGAGAGCAGCTGAACACTGCGGGTGGCGTCTCTAGCTGCTGTCTCAGGTGTGAGCCTGCAGCAGGCAGGGGACTGGACAGGTCTTCCCTGGGGCACAGTGCTGCTGCTTGTGGGGCGGTCTCCACGGTGAGGCTTGGAGAGCTGGCTTCAGACCGAAGCCCCTTCACGTCCCCCCCATACTCTCCACCCTGCATGGCAAGCTCCTACCCCTTTGTTATCAGTGCTTATGTTGTTATTTACTTATATTGGTACATTATCTGTTATCAGTATGCAATCTAGATTGCTGCCTGGCTTCAGCCTTTGTTGTTCACATTTACGGGACTGGCTGGTGGGCACCTGGTCTAGCCGCTGTGGCTCCATGACCCTGTCTTAGCGTGTGTCCTGCCCTTACAGCTCAGCAGCGTGTCTTCTGGGCCCTGGACTGGCTGCATCTTGGAGGGGCCCTGGTTGCTTAGGTGGGAGCTGCTTTAGAGCCAGCACTGGGGTGCTGGGTTTGCTTGGGGCTGTCAGGGCGTCTGCTTTCAGGACCTTCTGTGGACGGAGAGGTGTGCCCATGTCACATGCACACATATCCACGCACGTTTGCACAGGTGAGAAGCCACACAGCCACCCGTGCCTTGTTCATGTGACCCACGGGTTCTCAGCCCCTCAGCCGTCGGTTGTCCCTTGCCCACTGCGGGAGTCCTGCAGGGCCTCTGCCCAGTGATACATGCACAGGAAGCAATTTCTGAACTTAGTGTTTTCTGTTTTAACTTGTTTCTTTTAGCCATCTCGATGGACACATTTTAACTTCTTTCCAGCTTTTCACTATGAAAAATTTTAACATGTAAAGAATATGAAAGAATTTTAAGTCTAAAGAATTTGAAAATCAGTGATCACAATATACCCAGACTAAATGAAGTTATTAAACATTTGCCCTATCTACAGATGTGCTCTCTCTCTCTCTCTCTCTCTCTCTCTCTCTCTCTCTCTCTCTCTCACACACACACACACACACACACACACACACACACACACACACGTATTTTGCTGAGCCTTCTGAAATCATGCTGCAGATGCCAATCTCTAGGAACCCGGGGCAGACCCTGAGTGCTTTACCATGCATCTCCTAAAAACAAGGCTGTAACCCACATAACCCAGTACTCTTTGTTTTCCCTCTGGTGCTTGGCAAGCACTCACCACTGAGCTATACCCCCACTGGCGCAGTAGCCCAGTGCACAGTAAGACGAACCCAAACACTGCCTGTCCACACTCGGGTCTCTCCAGGTGTTCCCCAAACCATTTGAAGTTCTTCCACGTATTAGGCTGTTATATCTTGATAATCACTTTCAAATCAAAAATTCTCCACACACTTTTGTTAAAGACACTGTCTGAAAAGCAGCTTCGCTGAGGTGCCACAGGCCTAACGTGCCATGCATACGGAAAGTGAGTGTTTGACTCGGCTTGGCAGGTGTCCACCCATATCGCAGTCCCCAGGGCTGGACGCTGAGCGGACCCCTTGACTGGCGCCTGCTCCAGCCCGAAGTCCCTTTGAATAATCCGTGATCTGCTTCTGTGCAACCACTCGCCCAGCTGTTGCTGGGTTGTTTTCAGAGTTTCAGAGTTCCTTATATATTCTGGATTCAAGTCCTTTGTTAGGTAGACATGATTTGTAAAAATGTCTTTTCACTCCTTAAACTGTCTTAGGGATGTTGTTGTTCAGTCCAGTTAATCAGTTTTTTTCTTATGGATCATATACTTGTATTGAGAAATCTTGACCAACTTGAGGTTATGAAAATTTTATCTTATTTTAAAAATTATTTTTGGAGGTGGTAGGAGTCAAACCCAAAGCATGTGAGGCAAACACTGCCCTGTTTTCTGCTAAAAGTTTAATGGCTTAACATTTATTTTTGGTACCGGGAATTGAACTCAGGACCTTGTGCTTGCCAGGCAAGCACTGTGCCACAGAGCTATATCCCTGGCCCGCATTTTATATTTAGATCAGTGATCCATTTAAATTTTTTATATGTCGGGAAGTATGGACTGGAAGTTTTTCACATGAATATCCAGTTTCTCACACCATTTGTTAGGAAGATTATCTGTTCTTTACCGAATTAGTTTTGCACTTTTCTCAAAAATTAGTTCACTCTAGAGGCTTGAGTGCAGCTCGTTGGTAAGCACTTGCCTAGCAAGTTCCAGGCCGTTTGATCCCCAGTGACACACACACACAGCTGATGAAAAAGACCAAGAAGGCAAGCCACAAGACTGAAAGATGTATCTGATCAAGGAGTATTACCAAGGGGCTGGGGATTTAGCTCAGCGGCACAGCACCTGCCTGGCAAGCGTGAGGTCGTGAGTTCGATTCCCGGTACCAGAAAAAATCAAAAAAACAAAAACAAAAGGAGTATTACCCTAAATATACAAAGAATCTTAAAACTCAACAGTTGATTTAAAAATGGAGAAACTATCTGGACTTTTCATCAAAGTAGATACACAGATTGCAAATAAGCACATGAAAAACTCCACATCCTACAGGAATTTTGCAATTTAGAACAGTAAGATACCATGTACAACTACGGGAATGGCAAAAATCCAACATGGACAATGCCACAGCATGCAGATGTTTTGTTGAGTTTGCCATAAATATTTTCTGTTTTTGATACTGTTGTGAGGCTGTGGATCAGCAGGAACTAAGTGCTGATGGGAATGCAAAACTTGCAGTTTCTTACAAAGCTAAATATGATCGAACTCCTTGGTATGTACCCAAAAACCTGGAAACTCATGTCTGCACAAAGATGGTCATGGACGTTCCAGGCAGCTTCGTTCAGCGTCGCCCGCACTGGGAGGCAGTCAGGGTTTCCTCCACTGGTGAGGGACACATAAACCGGTCCACCCAGAACAAGTGATCAGGCCCTGAAAAGACACGCAGAAAAACGAAGTGCACACTTGGAAGTGAAAGAAGCCTGTCTGAAAAGGCTGCAGCGTGCAGTCGGATTCCAAACCCACCGAGCAAACCCAGCCTGTGATGTTGGGCTCGGGGGTGGGGGGCACGGGGTCTTGGGGTGGGGAACCATTCTGTGTGATCCTGCGGCGGAGGACACAGGTCATGAGGCATTGGTGAAGATAGGTCTGTGGGCTGCTTGGCCACAAGCGTGATCTCTCAGTTAGCCTGGGCTGCGGGTGACCATGAAATGTCCCTGTGGATTCAAGACAACAGGTGGTCCAACCTGGAGTTGAGAGTGGAGGGGGACAGATGACACTGTACTTTCTGTTAGCTTTGCTAGGAAACCAAAACTGCTCTAACAAATTGAGTCTGTTAAAAAAATAGACTGTTTCAAAAGAGGGGATGAGGGAAGCTATTCTGGGGGAAGGGACTAGTCTGTATTTCAGTGAGGGTGAACCTTTTAGAGCTTGCAATGATAAACAGCCCGCTGCGGCATGCGTGCCATGGATTCGCCATGCTGCCTGTGTTTTCATCAAGACTTGCTGACTTGTGCACTAAACGTGGGTGGATTTTATCATGTTTTATAACTCAAAGTAGATTTTTAAAGAAATCACTCGATTATGTATGGGACGACAGGTTTCTGGATTTTATTGTCTGTGGATCCACCTTTCTGTCTCATACCAATATCATGATGTCTTGATGACCATCACTCATAAGTCTGGAAGTTGGAGTGAGGTCCAATGTTACCCTTTTCAAAATGGATGTGGCAGCTGGGTGTGGTGGTGCACAGCTGTAATCCTAGCATTTGGGAGGCTGAGACAGGAGGATTGCTGTGAGTTTGAGACCAGCCTGGGCTACAAAGTGAGCTCAAGGCCAGCCTGAACTGCACAGTGAGACCCTGTCTCAAAGAAAAAAAAAAAAGGATGTGGCTTTCCTATATCCTTTCCATTTGCCTGTGATTTTCTTTTTTTTTTGTCTTTTTGCGACAGGGTTTCCCTATGCAGTTCAGGCTGGCCTTGAGCTCACTTTGTAGCCCAGGCTGGTCTTGAACTCACAACAATCCTCCCGCCTCAGCATCCCAAGTGCTGGGATTACAGGCATGTGGCACCACACCCAGTTTACCTTGTGATTTTTAAAATCAGTTGTTTAGTCAGTTGAGGTGGCATTGATTTATACAGGTCAAGTCAGAAGAATTAGGGTATTAGCAATACTGAACCTCCAAATCCATAAGCATGGCCTTTCCATTTACTTGAATATTCTGAAATTTCCTTAGGAATGCTTTATGGTTTTTGGTCTATAGATTATGCATATCTTCTGTCAGATTTACTATAAATATTTCCTATTTCTGATATTGTTGTAATTTTTTTGAGATGGGGTCTCCTTACATAGCCCAGGCTGGCTCAGAAACTTAATCTTCCTGCCTCAGTCCCCTGTGGTAGATGGTATTTTAAAACATACCAAACAATTTTTTCATTTATTCATTTTTATTTTTTGTTTCATCTTTTTGAGATAGGGTCTCCCTCTGCAGTTAGGCTGGCCTTGAGCTTACTTTGTAGCCCAGGCTGGTCTTGAACTCGCAACAATCCTCCTGCCTCAGCTTCCCAAGTGCTGGGATTATAGGTGGGCACCACCACACCAGACTGACCATTCACTCATTTTATAACATAAGCAAACTCTCCCTCTTTTTTCTTCTTTCTCTCCTTCTTTACTTTTTCTTTTCCTCCCTTCTCTCCTCCCTTCCCTTTTTTTTTGTTTTTGGAGACAGGGTCTCACTGTGTACCCCAGGCTGGCCTTGAGCTCGCAGTGACCCTCAGCCTATCAGGCTGTGGGCTTCCCGCTGTGTGCCACCATGCCTGGCTAAAACATGTTAATTGCTTGTGTACGCTGAAACCTTAGTCATTTTTACTGCAACTCTGCTAAACTCGCTTATTATTTCTAGTAACTTTTCTTAGTCAATTTCCTCGGATCTTCTCCCTCAGTGGTCCTGCCATGTGTGAAGACAGCTTCATGCCTCCTGTCTTTTCCACTCTGTCTGCTGTGGGGGCCTCCTGTGAGTAGAGGCAGGCAGTATTTACCACGCACCCTCTTGTGACTGGCTTACTTCACAGGTCCATGGCTGACAGATTTCAGAGACCTCCTCAAGGCCGGGTAGGCGTCCTTCACGGACAGACCATGTTTGTCATCAGCTGCCCTGCACTTGGCTGCTTGAACCGTGCTGCTATGAATGTGGCGCAGACAACTCCGAGACCCGATCTCAACGTTTTAGTCTACACCCACCACATGGTGATTCTGTTTGTAACTTTTTGAGGAACTTCCGTAGGGTTTTCCAGCCACTGTGCGGTCTGAAGTTGCCACCAACAGTACGCGTGCGCAGGCTGCCATCTGGGGCTGTTCTGGCCCTGCCTGCCGGTGCGCGTGCGGCCCCGCCTCGGTGCGGTTTGTTGTGCGCTTCCCTAATGACTGGTGAGGCCGGTGTGCTTCATGTGCCCGCCAGCCAGCTGCGAGTCTCTTCCTTGGAGCAAGGTCTGCTCGAGTCTCTGCCTGCTTTAAATCGGGTTCTGTGGTTGACGTTACTGAATTTTAGGCTATCAATCCCTTAGCAGATGTGATTAGCAAACATTTTCTCTCCTCAGGGGGTTGCCCTTTTACTTTATGGAGAGTGTCTTTTGGTGCACAGATTAAGAAATGTTGGCATCAAGCCCAAACTGTCTGTCCTTTGGTTGCCTGTGCCTTTGTCACATCCACGAAATCAGGAGCTTGCAGAAGCCACTGGGCAGCATGTGCCTTGTCTGTTTACCGCTTCCAAACCTACGCTGGGCATCAAGATCTGACCTTCGATGCCTCTGGGTTTCCGCCAGTTGCGCCTAATTTTGACACATTGGTCTGACGGGTGCCGGATGAACTTCTTGGTCCTCTTGACGATCCTGGGCTTCACGAGGGGTCTAAGGGCCGCCATAGTTCCTTTGAGGAGAAGGCGGATCCCAGTTCCCGCAGGGTCTGGGAAGGAGGGATTTCCGCCCATGGCCGAGGGCTGCTGCTGAGCGTCACCCAGTCACCAGCTACCGGGCAAGCTGGGAATGGAAGGGGTGCCCTGCTGGGCTGCTCTCCCTCCTCTTTCCAAAGCTGGCAGAACACTCTCCAGACGCGATCCTAGGACGTCTTGCATTAATTTTTGCATAAGGTATCCTCTCCTTCTGCCTATGGACAACCAATTTGCCCTGCACCATTTGGGGAAAAGGCTATCATTTCCCAAAGGTTTTAGCACCATTGCCAAAAGTCATCTGACCGGGAATGTCAGGGTTTATCTGTGGGCTCTATTCAATTTCACTGACCAATGTGTCCATCTTGATGACTATACCACAACTTTTGATTACTGTAGTTTTGTGGTAGGGCTTGAAATCAGAAAGTATGACAACTCCAAAATTATCCTTCTTCAAGATTATTTTGGCGATTTGGAGTCTGAGATTTCATAAAAATCTAGTGACCTTTTTCTATTTCTGTAAAAAAACAAAACACATTGTTGTGATTTTGGTAGGGATTGCATCAGATGTGTAGATCACTTTGGGAGCTGCTGGCATCTTAACCATATTTAGACCTTCCAATCCATGAACATAGGATGTCTTTCCATTTATTTTTCTTTCTGAAATGTTTGTACGTTTCACTGTACATGTCTCTGACCTTAAGTATTTTATTCTTTGTAATGCTACTGTAAGTGAAACTGTTTTGTTTTGCATTGTTCATTGTTAATGTACAGAAGTGCAGTTGATTTTTCCATATTGACTTTGCATCGTACTACTTAGCTGAATTCATTTACTAGCTCTCCGTGTGTGAAATCTTAAGGGTTTTCTACATTTCTCGGTGTGACCTGTGAACAGAGGTAACTTTACTTCCTCTTTTCCAGTTTGGATGCCTTCTATGTCTGTTTCCTGCCGAGCTGCTCCGGTGAGTACTTCCCGTCTTGTGTTGAAGTGGCGGCAGGAACCATCTTTGCCTTCTTCCTCATCTTACAGGAGCATCTTTGTCTTTCGCCGTTGACTGTGATGTTTGCTGTAGATGGGCACACCTGTGCATCACACCACTTCGGGAGGCGGGGGCAGCACAGCAAGTTCAGCCCAGCCTGAAGGCTTAGTGAGACCCTATCATTGCCATTTTCGAGAAGTATTTTCATTGGCACAGAAGCCTAGCCTGGGCCCTCCAAGATGCCACCCCATGGTTTCAACCACACTGTTCCTGCTCTAGGTACGTGACTGCCTGCTGCATCTAGGGATGCAGGGAAAAAGGATCTATACGGCTTTGGTAATTCTTGAGGGAGGGTTGGCCTGACACCAGCTCTCTCATGGTCACAAATAAAGGAAAGGGAATTCTAGCTTTTCCCTTCTGCCTTCCAGACACCGTCTTTGGCTCCCCGCGCTTTGCCGGCATGCTGGTTCATCTCGTCCTGTTTGGGGTTCAGTCCTCCTGGTATCTGTACTCCGGGAGGCCCATCAGGCTGCTCCCCTGTGTGTTGGTCCCTGTGACTTGGTCACACGCCCTACCCCTGCCTGTCCCGGTGCCGAGGCTGGCTCCCAGCTCAGAAATCCTCTTGTCCACTTCCACTCTGCCATTCAATCCACCTGCGGAACTCATTTGCCACGGTGGTTTTTAGTTTAAAGGTGTTCATTTATCACTTCTTACTCCTGGGCAGCATTCGCTCCCTTTTCATAAATACTGATGGTCCCCGATTTACCATGGTCCAACTACGGTATTTCAAGTTTATGAAGGGGCAAAAGTAAATTTTAAATCTTGTCTTTCAGAATGGGAGATTGCATCAGGGACAATCCAAAACTGAGTATTTCCAGCCCTTTATTTATTGAGGCAGGGTGTCCCTAAGTTGCCCAACTGGGAATTGAAGTTGTGACTTTCCTGCATCAGCCTCCTTCAATTATAGGTGTATCATGGTACCTACTAGCTTAGAATTGTAATTCTCACCCTCTCCGGTGACAGGCAGTGCAGGAGCCAGGGGAGCCACACTGGTCCATGGTAGGAAGTACATTTCCAACTTTCAGTCTCTTGATCTCTGACGGGCATGCGGGGCTCGTGTCTGGGCCTGTGCGAGGGTCACCTCTCAGCATGAGGTCCTGTGTGCCTGATGATGCAAGTTCTGACTGAGGGTCACACTGTACATGAGGTCTCAGCAGCTGTGATCACTGCGCTGAGCAGGTCTCGGGACAGCATTCTCTCCAAGGTGGACGGGCAGTCCCCCGGTGCAGCAGAGGCTGAGATGACCCCGCTCGCAGCACCTCACCTGGAAGTCAGCCATCTTGGCAGCTGCCTGAGCACTGGCACTAGTGGCCTGTCTCCTGGCTTGTGCCCTGGGCATGAGGAGCCCAGGAGGAAGCAGCCCTGCCGCTAGGCCCACTGCTGGCTCCTGGAGTCCTGGACGTGGCGGCTTCACAGTTCACTAGGGTCTCCATGCGCAGCCCTGTGCAGCTCGGGCTGCCACCTGCTCAGGCTCACAGCCAGGCCCAGCAAGTGTCTCAACAGGAAAGGAAGTCCCAAGCACAGGGCCCTACTCCAGATGCCGTTTTTGCGAACCTGGCAGTCGTGACTGCTCTCCAGTGTCTCTACCAAGCTCTTTTCAAAAAGTCGCTGCGGGCCAGCGCTGCACCCGCCCAGCACGTTTGAGTCCCAGACTCAAACCCAGAAGAAAAGAAGAAAAGGGACAAAAACAGAAAGAAAAGGAAAAAAGGCTATACAGCTTTGATAATTCTTGAGGGAGGGTTGGCCTGACACCAGCTACTCTCTCATGGTTACAAATGAAGGAAAGGGAATTCTAGCTTCAGGTAAGATTGTTTTATTACACAACTGGTAGTTTCATTCACAGAGCAGGATGCTTTTGAGGCATACACCAGGGCTTTTTATTACCCGAGAGACCCAAAAAGTCCAAGACCCTGCCCAAAATAGCACCGAGAGGCAGAGATACCATGTGCAGAGTTGGGTGGGACCAGCTGACCTGGTCCCCGTAGGCGCACCTGTCCCTTGGGCTGCTGTCCCGGAGGGCGCCAGGTTCAACAGGTGTCACAACTCTGGGTGTAGTGTACAGGTGGGGCGCCCCCAGTGCCACCTGAGTGGGGCCACAACCCCTTTTCAGACACGGCAGCAGTACAGGACCCCTCCGCAGAGAACCGCAGCACGTGGCCGTGTGTGCAGGGACACGGAGCTTCCCTGGCTCCACTACGCCAGCCTGTCACGGCTGGGTGGCGGGGGCAGGGGCTTCCACTCCTATTGTGACTGTGGCCCAGGGGTAGGGGACGGGTGCCATCGTGCCAGTGATGTGGGCTGCCCTGCTTTAGAGGACAACTCACGAAGCTCAGCACCCCAAAATTCTAAGGGTGTGAAAACTCAGAGTAACCCTCCCAAACACAGGCTGGTGAGCTGGCTGTGGATGCCGTGCCCTCTCCTTCCCAGCTGTGGCCCTGGCCAGCACGCTGCGCCCACTCCCCGCCAACACCAGGCCCAGAGCCTTTGCCATCCTCACCATCACCACGTCAGAGATAGGGGTTCAGCTCCGATTCTGCTTCCCGGTGCCTGGCTGGGGCTGCACCATGTGGTTTCTATGTGTTGGTTCCCAAAGAGGATGCCTGTTTTATTTCCCCCGCAAAATAAAGAGCCAGTATCCACGAGCACTAGAAAATTGCAAATAAAAAATTTAATTTCAGAAACTGGGTTCACCATTTATAAATACACTAAAGCATAGTCCACGCAAATTTAGATTAAGTATAGGTACAATATTTTAACAAAATGACAACCTTTCTAAAAGATCAATATTAAATTGATTGAAATGAGAAAATGCATCCTTTTTCAGATGTTAACACAAAAACTTTGAGGACATATTGATTTGTAAAAGAATACGACAACTGATATTTCATTCTGATGTCACTGGGATTCTAGACACCCAAGTGATGGCTGGATCTTCCTTATCATAAGCAATCTAAATGCCTAAGGCTATTTTCACAACTGCAGTACGACCAGCACCTTCCCTGTTTTAAGAAGCCATATCCTCTAAAAGGGATCTCAGCCGTAACTGCTCAAACTGGGGGTCAGTGCACACAGGAAAGGGATGGCTTCAGAGTGTGGCGCTGAACAAGCCATGTGGGGATGGGATCAGCGGGTTGTCTGCTGTGAGTGTCTCGATTAATGCACTGGCTAAATCATAAGCACAAATTTACAAACTTGGATCCAATTTCGAGGAGCTCATGATACAGAGTTGGGGTACCTCTGAGTTAACTGACTACGTGAAAAACCTGAATACAAAACCCGGAATGGAACCGAACGTTCTGGTGATCAGATGACTGACACTCTGTGACACCTCGCTTCAGTTTCATTTCGGACGCCGTGTCCCTGTCAGAGTGGAGTCAGCTTCCAGAATATTCTCTCTGCTCGACACTTACAGCTACAGCTGAGAACTGCTTGGTCAGGATGGCTTGGACTCCCCCTCCTGTTCACACCTTTCCTTGGACAGCCACGAAAGCTGTTCTGTTGCATTAAAGCAATGTTTAACTAAAATACAGTACCTGATTTGTGGTTTTTACACAATTGAATAAAAAACCTGCAAAATAAAACTGTTTATGTCTTCTTTCCATTCTAGTAAAACAAATCACTAACCCCTAACTTTTAAAAAACTTTACAGTTATGAATTAAAACCTGATCATCCTATTTCATCGCTGAAGAGAGGCTGTTGCCAGTGGACTTCTGAAAACGCTCGGCGACACCTGGCTGCAGGAGGAGTAAGGCACACGTGGACGAGATGTGAGAGCTGGTGGGGGGCCCCCGAGGCCCGGCCCGGCGTCCCACATGGCCCCGCCGGGTGGGTCACAGCCCTGGTACAACAGCGCGCTACGAGGAGCACCTTTAGTCTGCAGCTCCGGCTCTGTGGTGGGTTCAATACTGAAAGTATATCAAGGGCAGGTTCACTTTTAAAAAGATGAGTTTTTCAAAATGCTCCATCATGAGCCTGGGCTGGCCAAAGCTGCCGTTCTCCGTGTGGGTGCTGAACAGCTTCTCGGAGGTCACCGTGCTCGGGGGGCAGCCCAGGAACCGGACAGCCAGCGTGGACAGTGTGGGCCAGGCCGAGCGCTTCAAGCTCCAGTAGGCGAGTGGGTCGCAGCCGTGCTCTAGCACCTCCTCCTCCAGGTAGGCGAGCACCGTGTCCTGGGGCGGCTTCTCCCTGCCCCCTCTCCTCTTCACCTCCGCCACCAGCGACCACAGGTCCTCCCCGCCTGAGGCTCTCGGCAGGGACCCTGAGTCACAGCCGTGGGAGGCGGCTGCGTCCTCTGAGGTAGAATTCAGTAGTTCTAGCTCCCTGATTAAGTCCTGCCTGTACTGCTCTGCCTCCTCCTCCGTGAACAGGGAGGCCTTGTAGCGAGGGTCCAGCAGTGTGGCGAACACGTACCTGGGGTCGTGGAGGGTGGCGGCCAGGCGGCTGGCCATGGCTTCCTTCAGTGACTTCAGCATGGTGTCGATGCCCATGGTCTCCCCGAACAGCATCTCCACCTTCCTGCTGAGGATGTGGATCATGGGGATGACCTGGCTCAGCGTGGACACGGGGGTGTTCATCTCCCGGCTGGCGGCGTCAAAGGGCCTCAGTGCGTGGCACACAGACTGCATAACCTCCCACTGGTCGCAGCTGATGAGCTCCCGGAAGTTGCACTCGATCGACATCTCATTGATGGCCCTCTTCTGCTCCAGCAGCCGCTCGAGCATGTGCAAGGACGTGTTCCACCGGGACGGCACGTCCTGGATGAGCGCGTGCGGCGGCAGCTCGTACTCCCGCTGCAGCTCCGCCAGCTTCTCCCGCGCCCGGGGAGACCGCTGCACGCGCTCGCACAGCTTCCGCGCCAGGCTCAGCAGGTTCTGCACCATCCTCTGGCTCTTGATGGCCTCGTTCACAATCAGGTTCACTGTGTGGCTGAAGCACTGCACGCTCGAGTGCTCCGCCTCGCTCAGCGTCTTGCCGATGCTCGGGTTGTCCGTGACTGTGATGCCAACCTGGAGGCCGAGGGAGGTCACCCAGGCCTCCCACCAGCACTCCAGCTGCTTCTGGATGCCGTTGCCGCTGTAGTCGCAGTCCACCTGCGACACGTCCAAGAGGGCGGAGCAGTGGTGGTCCTCGCAGTGCGGGCGTACGGAGGACGCGAAGGTGACCCAGTGCGCAGTGAGGGTCAGGTACTCGCGGGTCTGGTTGCTCATCCAGATGCCGGAGGTGAAGTGGACCACCCCACTCTCCGCTTCCTTCAGCTGTGACATGATGATCTGCTTCACATTGTCATACATACCTGGGATAGCTGTCCTGGAGAAGTAGGAGGGGGAGGGGAGGGAGTACTGAGGTTTCAAGTATTCGAGCAGCCTGTTGAAGCCAACATTGTCTACGAAAGAGTATGGCTGGAGGTCAAGTGCAATCATTTCAGCTATGAGACTTGTGATTTTTTTGGCAACTGGGTGAGAGTCGTAAAGCTTCTCACTGGGGTCATCGAAGGAGGGAGCTCCTGACAGCTCAGAGTGCAGCGGCCCGCGCTCAGCTGCCAAGCAGGGCAGTGCGGGCTCTGGGGTGTCGGTCTTGAGCACGTGGCCGTGGAACCGCTGCAGGTGTCGCAAGAGGCAGCTGGTGCCCAGGTTGGTGGGCTTCTTGCCCCGGCTGATGGTGCGGCCGCAGTGCAGGCACACCACTTTGGTGGAGTCTGCGGAGCAGATGGAGAAGTGGTTCCACAGCTTCGAGGTCTTCTTGCTGTGGACAGGGAGCAGGACCTGGTGGTTCTTCCTGACCGTGGCTGGCAGGACACTCAGCGTGGAGGAGGGGTTCTCGGCAGAAGCCAGAGTGGCGTATGGAGAGTTGGCCAGACTGGCGCCCAGGAGGTCCTTCTGCACGCCGACCACCTCAGGGTGGCGCCGGTACAGATGCCGCATCAGACAGCTGGTGCCCACGTCCCCCTTCCGGCCCCGGCTGATGGCACAGCTGCAGTAGCGGCACACGGCCTTGAGGTTGTCTGTGGGGGCCAGCGAGAAGTGGTGCCAGACTTCTGACTTCAGTCTCCTCATGGCCTTTTTATTCTGCTGGAAGATGGCCCCTGACTCAGACCTCCTGGGACTCAGCCCGCCAGTGTGCGGCTTCTCAGGGGAGGACACAGCTGAGGCCTCGGCGACTTCGTCAGAGGACGACGGCACGGACGAGTCTTCCTGGAGTGTGTCCCCAGGATGGGCGTGCAGCGGCAGGTCCTCGGCCAGCTGGTCTGGGGATGAGGTGGCAGATGGGCACTCACCCGTGGGCTTTCCTGGGGAGGACGGCACGGAGCTGGGGTCGCCCTCAGGGGGCAGCAAGGTAGGCAGCAGTGTGGGGGGCGTGGGGTACAGGGGCGGGATGCCTGGGCCACCCCCATTCTCCTGCAGCACCACGGCTCGGTGCGCCCGCCACATGTGCCTGATGAGGCAGCTGGTGCCCAGGTCCTTGCCGTTCTTGCCCCTGCTGAACTCGTTCATGCAGTGCACACACACGGCCTTGGAGCTGTCGAGGGGCGACAGGTAGAAGTGCTTCCACACGGCCGACCTGCGCCGGGAGCCGGCTGTGCTCCTGGGAAGTGGGAGGCTCCGCTCGGCCATGCTGTCTGAGGCGGCCTCGTCGTAGTGCAGTGAAGGCAGGCGTGGGGAGGACCCTGCTAGGGCCTCTTCTCTGCCAAACTTACCCGCACCTGCTTCTGAGGGCACCGCGGGTACAGACTCCTCCTTTATCCGGTCAGGGGATGGGATCTTAGGTGCCATGTCCGGGACAAGACTGACGGGGCACAGCGTGGCGCCCAGGTCGCCTGTGTCTGCGGGCTGCGGGGGGAGCAGGAGGGAGGGGGCGGACAAGGACCCCCCGGCCAGGCTCCCGTTCTCAGGTGCCAGCTTGGTGGGGTGCGCACGCCTCACGTGCCGCATGAGGCAGCTGGTGCTCAGGTCCTTTTCGTTCTTGCCCCTGCTAAACTCCTTCATGCAGTACCTGCAGATGGCTTTAGTGCTGTCTCGGGGGGAGATAAAGAAGTGCTTCCAGGCTGGAGACTTCTTCCTGGAGCTCAGGTGCCGGCTGGAGAGGAGGCTCTGCGTCACCGCCTCCATGGCCACGTTGTACAGGGTGCTGCTGTACTGGGAGAACAGGTACTCGTCCTCGCTCTCCGTGGGCAGGCACTTCCTGGGGGGCCGGCAGGCGCAGCCCGCGGTCCCGACGTCCGCCTGCTCGTCCCCGCTGTCGGTCGGCCTCATGTCCTCCTGCTCACTTTGGAAGTCCATTCTCTCCAAACTGTGGCTAGGGATTTGATCACCATCCTCCTCCTCTATTTTGAAATTTATCTTGTTGGAAACAAAATCCCCGTCCCCTTTGGGACAAATTTCCTGCTTATTCTCCATGACCAACCATCACTACCCTGGCTGCTGCGTCATGTTAAGGTCTCGAGGCCCTCAGACATTGGTCCGGATGTTCACTTGTGCCCGAGTGCAGATTGCCTCCATGTTTCACGTCCACTCCACCTTCTGGGATGCTTCTATGGACATGGCCGATCACAGACGTCACCGAAAACAGTGCACGGCTCCGGGCACCAATCGTCCTAGGGCCCAAAGCACCGCATTCTGGGAGTTCTGCTGTTAGAGGTGTCCCTCGCAGTGTGGACACACGTGCTCAGTCAGACCTGCTTCTGGTCCTAAGGACAGGACCCCGGCCATCTTGTCTGCACACACTTGGTCCTTCTGCATTTCCTATAAGAGACGGCAGCAAAGTGAGCACAGAGCCAAATCACAGACTTTTTTTTTTTTTTTTTTTTTTTTTTAGTTTTTCTCCGGTACCGGGAACCGAACTCACGACCTTGCGCTTGCCAGGCAGGCGCTTTGCCGCTGAGCTAAATCCCCAGCCCCTAAATCACAGACTTTAGATCTACACTGTCTAAACACAAGAGGAAAAGACTGCACAAAGGAAAATGGAAATGGCAAAACGGACTCCCTGACATTATACAGTCCATTCGCATGATAAAAATACCCTATGGCTGCAAATAAACAAAAAGGAGACACGGATTCAAATTCAAACCGCCTGCTGGTACAGGAGCAGGAGGACATGGATAAAGGGCTACCACGATATTAAAGTTATTTTCATCTCGAATTTGCACTGTCACTCTTCAGTTTACCAGAGGTACCTGGAAGCTGAGGTTTATCAGAACTAATTTAAAATCAATTCGTTCAAGCCTGCTACATGGGTAAAATGATCAATTCAGACTAATCTGGGTAGAAATTCAAAGGATAATGCAGATGTGTAGGGCAGGAGGGGAGCAAATCAGTAAAAAAAGTTTTAAAAGTAGCAACAAATGCTGGCAGCAACAAACTCCAGGACGTGCATGCTCATCACAGCAAGTGTGTTTCACACACAGCCTGGGCTGCCAGGAGTGGGACCCAGGCTGGGTCTGTCAACAGCTGGGTTTCACGGGTCGGCCCCTAAGTCTGACCTGCCCACACTGAGTGAGGGACTGAGCCTGTGCTGCTGAATGTAAGGTCCCCGAGATAGCGTGGGAACCATGGCCTCACTTCGCCGCTGGAACAGGCTTCAGCTTCAGTCCCCCAGGCACAGCAGGGGTCTGGTCACCCAAGGAAGGATCCAGTCTCCCCAGGAAGGATCTGGTCTCCCCAGAAAGGGTCCCGTCTTCCCAGTAAGGGTCTTGGTCATCCCAGGAAGGATCTGGTTACCCTGGGAAGGGTCCAGGCTCAGAAACCACCCAGCCCCTCAACAGGATGGGACAGGGTGTTTCGGGCAGGAGGCTTCCCAGGAATAGAGACCATAGCCAACTACAGCCCACATAAGGGGCGGGGGCACAGCTCGGTGTACAGCGCAGGCCTAGCATGTGTGGGATTCTGCGCTGAAACCCTAGCGCCACACTCAGAACACGCAAAATAACAATTAGCTGAAAACTTAAATATCGTTAAACATACACGAAAACAAGCTGCCCCGAGTGACAGTTAGCAAAGCAATAAACAGCACTTTCAGAATGCCAGAGATTAATTTGCTGGAATCACCACACACACACGATGTAAAAATGACCACATACACACACACACCATAAACACACATTTTTTTTGGGGGGGGATATTAGAGATTGAACCCAGGGCATTTACACTAAGCTTTATCCCCAGCCCACTTCTTTACCTTTGAGACTAAGTCTCCCTAATTGCTCAAGTTGGGCTTGAACTTGGGATCCTCCTGCCTCAGGCCCTCAGAGTGCTAGGATCACAGACATGAGCAACCACACATGGTTCATATGTAAAATATTTTTAAAAATAAAACACAGAAGCCAGGCATGGTGGTACATGTCTGTAATCCCATTTACTTGGGAGCCTGAGCCAGGTAGACTGCAAGTTCAAGGCCAAACTGAACAACTTAGTTAGATCCTGTCTCAAAAAATGAAAACGGCTGGGGATACGGCTCAATGGTACAGTGCCGCTGGATTCAACCCCCAACACAACACACACACACACACACACACACACACACACACACAATGAATGGGAAAAGATATGAGGCTATAAAGAATGAAAAGCCATATCTGGGAAAGAATCACATTGTTAGGGCTGGTGATACAGCTCAGTGGCACAAGTGCCTGCCTGGCAAGTGCAAGGTCTGGAGTTTAATTCCTGGTACCAACAACAACAACAAAAAAGAATCACATAGTGTACTGTAAACAAATCTAAACCATGGCGAGATTCCAGTGCACACCCCCTGGGATGGCGAGAATAAAAAGGCAGTGATGAGGACGTGGAGAAACAGGGGCCTCATTGCTGGTACAATGTGCTATGAAATACCACAACCACCCAAAGTCTAAAACTGCGGCTCCACTGCCAACTCCAGTTAGAGACACACCCAGGAGAACTGAGACCAATGTTCACAGCTGTGTTACACCTGGCAGAAAGTACAAACGATCTGACGTCCATCGAGTGGTAAATGGACCACACAGCCACACACAGGCATGTGGTGCAGCCACAGGAAGGAATAAAACGCTACTCCACAGCTGAATCCTGAAGAACCCTGAAAGCATCACACCCAAAGATCAGACACTGTGTGAATGAACCTATAGGAAATGTCCAAAATGGGAAAACCCACCGAGACAGGTGTGGATCACTGTTTAAGACACAGTGAGCTGCACATGGTGGCACACACCTGTAATCCCAGCACTCTGAAAGGCTGAGGCAGGGTGATCACAAGCTCAAGTCTGGCCAACTTACTGAGACCCTGTTTCAAAAGAGAAAAATTTTTAAAAGGGATGGTATGTGTGTAACCTACTGGGTCAAATCCCTAGTACCATCATAAAGAAAAATAAAAATAAAAAAAAAAAAAAGGAAAAGAAAAAAGAACCAAATAGACAATTATAGATGATATATTTTGGTTTTGCTCCAAAATGATCCAACTGCAGGTAGGAGATGGGATGAGCTGTCAATGAAACAAGATCACCCCATGTGGACAATGGCTAAAACACAGCACTGGCTACTGAGGGGTCCCCTGGGTGGAATTTACAGCTTTCCTTATAATGAAAATGATTTTAAAACCACAGATAGTGTAATAAAGATAAATGCAAAACTCCTTCTAAGTGGAAAAGAATTGAGTGCAAAGTGCGTGACCCTGGCGGGCACAGCGGAGAAAACCAGGATGGCCAGAGCAGTCTGTGGAGACTTTGCACAGAAAGACACAACGGGGGGTGGGGTGGGGGGCAGGGAGGAGCCAGGACAGGTCACCCAAGTGGGAATGCCCTCCACAGCACCCAGGCACAACTGGACCTACTCGGAGTTCTCTTGTAGCACAAGATGCACCCCCACCCCAAGCCAGTGTACTTGTTTGCTAGTTGCCTAGGTAATAGTTGCAGTTATACCTCCTGTTAGTTTTGTTTCTTAGAAAGGGCTGGTCACTGTGGTGCATAGCTGGTCACAGCCATGCATATTGAATAAACCCATCCCCAACTGCCAAGCCATTCTGCCTCTGTACTTCCCGCTGGCTTATCCCATATAAGCCCTAGACCACCAGAGATCAGGGCCTGATATTCTGGGAATGATCCCGATTGGTGCCCGTCGACGTAAATAAATCTGCCTCCCCATCCTGGGTGTCATTTGGGTGTTTCTGCTCATGCTGCACTTTCACTCCCATGGTTCTGCTGGTTTATCAGGTGCCAGGGGACAGGTTACTCAGGGCAATCGTAGTGGTCAGCACTCGAGGGAGGCTGGATTCCTACATCAATCAACACAACTCACCCCTATGGAAAGGATGAACAGAAGCCCAAGGTCATTTCAATAGTGGCAGAAAAGCACCTGACTGATTTGACAGCTTCCATGATAAAAGCCTTTGGCAAGTGAAATCAGAAGAAACCCTCAGCACTTTGTGAAAGGGCACACACAGGCAGCACAGCCACAGGGCTCCTGCCTAATGGAGACTAGGAAGACAGTGAAGAATTGTCTGGCTACAGGCAGGCCGTGTCCTGGAGAGAAGGCACTGACTCCCACACTGCAACCTGCACTTACACTTGAGAAACTGCTGAGAAAAACCCACAGGCCAGTTATCACCAGCTCTCCTGCCCAAAGCATGGCACTGGCCCAGAGGGCGAGGACCTGGCACTGGCTACAGGCTGCTCTGGACTCTCCCTCACAAGGTGAGCCCATGCCTCATGGGGTGCAAGCAGATTGCCGCTCACCTGCCCTCTCAAACTAGCTAACAGCACTTATGATAGCATAAAAACCTCTCATGCTATAAGCACAGTTCAAAAGGTTGACATCAAACGTGAATTACAAGACATGCAGAGAGGCATGAAAAGAAAACCTGTAACCAGGGTACAAACAGCTTACAGACAGATCCAGATTCGGCTCTGGGGAGGAACTTAGAAGATGACATTAAAACCAGAAAAAAAAAAGTAAGTTAGTTATGCTACTAGTTTCTCTTAGTTCGTTGAAAAGAACGTCTGTGCTAATATCATTAGAAGAACTTTTATGCCCATATTTTATACTCCGAATAAGTGCTTTGAAGATAATAAAACGGAATGTATTAACTATTGTTGTTCTATTTGTTTTGAAGTTTTATTTTTTTCTATTGACAAAAGGCTTTTTTTTGGTATGAGGTACTGAGCCAAGGCCTTCACACTGAGCTACCCTCCTCAGTCTGTTTTATTTTTACTTACAGACTGACCCCCAGCAGATGCCTGAAACCACAGAATAAGGAACCTTACACAGATTTTTTCCTATGTATCCACACCCCTGACGAAGTTTGATGTACAAGTTAGGCACAGAAAAATGGGACAGCTGGAGCAGGATGGTGTGATGACAGTTATATGAATGAGGTCTCTCTTGAGATAGTCAAGACAAATGTTTACGACTGTACTGTGGCCAGTACGGGGGACTGGAACTGCCGGATTAGGGAGTGCATGCTGTCCACTGCTGACTTTCCAAGAGAAACAGCATAAACCAGGAGACAAAGGTGTAAGATCACCAAAGTCCTAAAACACCAAACTAGAATCCAGTAACCAACAAAAATACTTCCACTGGGTTATGAAATAGAACGCTGTCACACAAATCAAACACAGGGGTCAGCAGGTGGCCTGCACAAAGGTGGTGGCAAAGCATGCTTTTGTCTCTTATCAAAGGATAAGGGACAAAAGTAAGAAGCAGAAAACCACCTTTACAGATAATGAATACGCACGGCAGAAAAACAAAATGAAAACTGCAATTTTTCATTTTAAAAGAAACTAAAGATGTTAAAATGATATGAAGAACAAGATAAATCTAGACAGGAAAAAATCTGAAATAAGGTTATAAGTTCCAGGAAAATATTAGAAATAAAAGTAAAATAGGATTTCAAGAACTCAGACTAAACTAGAAAAAGCAAAGAAACTCTATAGATGATGGCTTAAGATAAATAGAAAACAAATTTTTTTGCCTATCATCTCACTCATAAAATTTTTTAATAAATAAGAAATGACTAAAAATGACTCAAGAAACTGATGAACTTAAGATGGATAAAGAAGATCCAACTTATGGACAATTGGAGTAGTTATCTGTCAGTAGAGCGAGAAGACAAAGGGGCAGGGGCAGAATGCCAAAACCTTTCCTAAGATGAAAGCTGTGAAACTGCATTTTGAAAGGGCACGCAGGAATCCATCCTGAACAAATAACACTGATGTGTATTCCAGCAAATTTGCTAGACCTAAAGAAAAATAAATCCTTTGGGCTCTCAGGAAAAAAAACAAAGTTACTTATAAGAGAAAGAAAGGCATCATGTTTCAATGGCAGTGCTTTATGCATGAAGGCAATGGAATGGCATATTTAAGATATTCAAGGAAGACAATGGAAACCAAGAGTTTTATACCTAGCCAAACTGACTTTCAAGTTGGAGGATGCAGAAAATTTGCCATCAGAATGCAAGAATTCAGGACCTACTTTTCTGAATCCTTGCTATGAAACACTGGAGAAGATTCTCAGCCACAAAGACAAGAGAAATGACATCAGGACTGGACTGGAGCAATCTTGTATGCAGTTACTTGTGGAACTTGGGCAGAATGAGGGAGAGAATACAACAGGCAATAGCTGTGTACTAACAGGACAGACAGTGGGTGGCTGGGAAGAAGGCTGGGAAATTTACAAAGAAAGCATTTAACAGTTTTTAGCAGTGATATAGAGGCAGTGGTATAGTCATTGTTCTGAGATCATGACATGTGCAGTGAGAGATCAAGCACAGGAGTAATTATGACAGTCTACTTCTCTTATCTCCTGTATCCCTGAGGACCAGGAGATGGACACAAGGTCAAATAAGGTCAAGAGAGCCCCCTGCAGTCATTCAGCAGATTACATGCACTTGCTTTGCTCATTGCAAAGACCCGTGAACAACCACCACTCCCTGCAACAACCTTTCTACTGTCAGGCTACGGTTCTGCAACCATGCTTTCAAGCCACTAATGAAGCCAGGGGAAAGAAGTGGCTTATTCCTGGGGCAAGAAGATACAAGATGAGTTTAGAATGTTCTGGTACACTGGACAGCAAGGCCCTCTGAGAGAGCACTAGGACTATGGCAGCTTGGCATCACAGCGAGACTGTTTCAGAGCTCAAGGGACAGACTTAGCAGATAATTAGAGCTCTTTAGAAAACATGGTCCTGCAATCTGCAGCTCATACCACCCCAAATCAACTTCAGCTGGGTGGCTAAGCTAAACTGGAAATAGTAAAGGATATAATACAGGAAAAAACCTTATAGACTTGATGTAGGGAAAAGCAGAATTAACCACTGTCAGGAAACAGGTAATTAGGCCATGTTAAAATTAAAAGAAATTATTTTCTTCAAGAAAACATTAAGAGAATAAAATGCAAAACCTCAGAGTAAGCAAAGATTTACGAAAAAGGGGAAGAGTTGAACAGGCATGTTTAAAAAAGCAATCCAGATACAATAAAGTTAAGGACACTGGGTGTGCTGGTACAGGCCTATAGTCCCAGCACTCAGGAGGCTATCAAGAGGATTCCAGTTTTTTGGGTTTCTGTTTTTGTCTTTTTGAGACAGGGTCTCACTATGAAATTCAGGCTGGCCTTGAGCTTACTTTGTTGCCCAGGCTGGTCTCAAACTCGCAACGATCCTCCTGCCTCAGCCTTCCAATTGCTGGGATTACAGGCATGCACCACCACACCCAGCTCGATTCCAGTTATTTTGAGGCCAGCCTGAACAACATAGTAAGACCCTGTCTCAAAACAAACAAATAAACAAACAAATAGTGCAAGAGGGAGCTTGGAGCGAGGGTACTTGCTCAGCATGCCCAAGGCCCTGGTTAGCACTGAAAAAGAAAAGAAAAAGCCCACAAAATCAAGGGGATACAGATTAAAGTTACCACAGCATCGCTTACCAACACACACCCTTGTACACAGCGTACCCCGAAACACACATATATACACACTGACCAAACCACATGCCTACTACATGGCACCCTGCCCATAGCACCCTCACCAACACTGAGGCAGCATACAGGGCACATGACACGGCTCTGGCAGCGCCTGCTCTGGGGGCTGCGAGAAAAGCCTGTAACAGATCTGCTAGCTGGTTCTGGAGAAAGGAGGCTCAGTGCCACAGAGCTGCCAGAACTCTGCATTCGGGGAGGGTGCACTGCCTTCCCCGTCACTGTGCCCTCATGTGGTGGGAGGGACAGTGGCTCTCTGATTCCCTTTTTAAAAAGGGCACAGGCCCTGTGGGGAGGGCTCTGCCACTACCACCCAATCACCTCCTAACACCACTACCCTGGGGTTAGGTCTCAACACGCGAATGTGAGGAAATCAACATTCAGCCTGCAAGTATATGCCCAAGAGAAATGCCCTTGCCCAGGCAGCAAAGACAAACACAGCAGTACTGACAATGGCCCAGATGGCTATGCCCACATACACACTGGGACAGACTCATGCAACGGAATGTTTTGGGTGTTTTTGGTACTGGGAATCAAACTCAGGACATTGTGCTTGCTAGGCAGGCACTTGTGCCACTGAGCTATACCCCCAGCCCAGCAAGGGAATGTTAAACAGCAATGAAAACAAAGAAATACCATTGGGCTGGGGATACAGCTCAGCGGCATAAGCGCCTGCCTGGCAAGCACAAGGTCCTGAGTTCGATTCCCGGTACCAAAAAAAAAAAAAAATAAAATAAAATAAAAAAGAAATACCATCACAGTCAACAACTATGAGCCTGAACAAAAAATGCTAGACACGAAGGAACACAACCCTGTGTGACTCTGCTTTCATACACAACCGTGGTATAAGTCACAAGAGACGGGGGGGAAGGGAAGGCAGCAGCATGGAGGTGATTTTCCAGCTCTGGACCTGGTGACCCACCCCAACAGGTAACAAGTCACTGAGGGGTCCACTCTGCACGCATGTCACGTGCCACACTAAGGCAGCAGTCTGAACACTGGGACTCACCGACGTGCCCACCGAGAGCTGCTGTGTGCCCTTCTGTGCTGCTCCCCGTCTTGCTGAGGTGCTGGTGTCACTGGGCAGCCTGGGATGTGAGTGTGCGCCACACCCAAGTGTCAACAAGCCCTGGGAAGGGTGTGGCACCACAAGGATTAAGAAAGACTCTCCTTCTGCGTGTGTCTCTCTACTGCTTGGCTATTTTTGCACATTTTATTATACAACCATACACAGCAATAATACTGCATTCTACTTTATGAAAATACTATCATTTGTTCTAGCAGCATGTTATTTTACCTCTAGAGAAAAATGATATTTTCCTACTTCAGCACCAAATTCAAAAAGAAAAAAAAGCACATGAGCTTAGGTTTTTATACCACAAACAGCTTAAACTCCTGTGGCATTCTGGTGATCTTATATGTGAAAAGCAATCTAAGTTTCTCACCTACCCCAAACTTTGGAGATAATACCTTGGCCTTGAAGATGCCTCCAGGTGTGGTGGCACCTTCCTACAACCCCAGCAACTCAGGAGACTGAGGCTAGAGGATCATGAGTTCAAGGCCAGCCTGGGCAACTGAACAAGACCATGTCTCAAAATAAAAAGGGCTGGGGATGTAGCTCAGTAATAGAAAACTTGCTAGCAAATGGAGTTCAACCCCTAGTACCACTAAAAGAGAAAATCTGCAGACTGTCCAGCTACAGTGCTTCAGGACTGTGTCCAGAGCCAGCATTTATCCATGGTACTGATTCCACTCTCCAGTAAACACAAACTAGCTTTAAAAGAAACCAATCAGCATGCATATAATATGAAATGCCCATCTCCGCAGCTAGAGTGCCGGCCTTTGCCAGGACTAACTTCCGGGATGGACTTACACACAACACCCCAAGGCAGCCTCTGCTGCATGAGGACAGATGAAGGGGAAGGAGGGTGAGGCGGAAGAAACAGTCAGACCAAAATCTCCCAGTATTCAGTAAAGTCGTTTTCAACTTCAAAGACAAACCAAAGGTAGCAAATCAAAGAATCCTTCCCATAGATTAGAAGTGAAATGTATAGAGTATTTTCAGTTTCAGCCATGAGTTCTGACTTCATTCTGCAAAAAATGGGAGACTATTATTTTTATTCAAAGATTTAAAGAAGCCACCTTCCACACTCACTCCCCCGGCACACAGTCAGCAGGCACTAAGATTGGTGGGCACTAAGGCCAGCAGGCACTGAAGTCAACAGGCACTAGATCAGTGGGCAATGAGGTCAGAGGGCAAAAGATCAGTGGTCACTGGGTCAGGTACTGAGGTCAGGGGGCACTAGGGTTAGCAGGCAATAAGATCAGTAGGCGCTAGATTAGCAAGCACTCACACTCACAAGAGACCCCCTGCAGTAGGGGGTCACCCAGTGAGGCACCAGTGTGATCACAACAGGCCCTGGAGGAGCTCAAGCACTTTGACAACCTAAGGTGTCCAACTTAGTAAAGTACCCTTTTCATTTTTACATTCAACCGAAGCTCATTACTAAAGTACTCAAGATGCCATCTCTCACCACAGCACCCTGAAAAGACTACACCTGGAGAGCACAAGCCCACAGGGGGTCTGGAAACCTCCTGAAATGACATTCACCCTCTGTTCCACAAACATACAAGGACCTGAAGTCACCTTCTTCAAACAAGTATCTCCCACATCCTCAGTCACAGATGCTTCCCTCCAGGGGACCTGCGTCACTCATGGATGTGCGCTGAAAGAGCCAGACACGGAGTCCACAGCTCCTGCCTTCTTCTGTGGAAGATGGAGAAAGTGTGTGTACCTATTTGTGCAGGATGAATAGAAGTAACAATGGCTGCATAAAAGGGGAGGAGTTACGGCAGATACTTCTAATAAAGTTTTTATAATTTTGACTTTCAAACTCTGTAGTTATTTTATAGAACAAGAAGTTTGGTGGCACAGGCCTATAATTTTAGTACTTGGGAAGGTGAGGCAGCAGGATTACTGTGAGTTCCAGGCCAGCCTGAGCTATAAGGCTAGCCTGAACTATATAGCGAGACCCAGTCTCAAGAAAAAAAAAAGAATCCAATCAATTCTGAAAAAAAAGAATCTAATCCTGAAAACCAACCTAAATGTATATCAAATGGGCAACATAACCAGAGAAAGGAATATTTGTTAAGGGACTTTAAAATAGTACTGTATTCATCCCAAGTGAAATATATACAAGGACTAAATGAATTTTAAAAGCAAACTTTAGTTACACATGATGGCACACACAGTCCTAGCATTTAAGGATCGTGAGTCTTAGCTGAACTATGTAAGACTCTGTCCAGAAAAAAAACCCAAAAACCTCAAACTTTACAATCAATTTTACATGAATTTTAGCATAAAACAGGTAATTATGCCAATGATTCATTGGTTCCTCAGTACTGGTGAGATAGCAAAATAGTTGCATATACTATGCATATCCTCAGATCACCCCTAGGTTAATTATAATACCCGATACAACATAAATGCTTTGTAAATAGTTGTTACACTGTATTACTTAGAGAATAATGAAAGAAGTAGAACCATGTAATTTTTAATTTTTTGTTTGTTTTTGGTGCTGAGAATTGAACACAGGACCCTGCACTTGCTAGGTAGGTGCTGTATCCGTTGAGCTGTATATCCCCGGCCCTTTTTATTTATTTATTTTTCTATTTACTTGTTTGCTTTTTTTCCCCTGTGGTGCTGGGACCTAACCTAGATACCCACACATGGTAGGTAAATGTGCTATCACTGAGCTACATCCTCGGTCCAACTCATGATGTACTCTGCTCACCAAAAAAGCTGTCAGCAACGACACAAATGCGGGTTGGGGGTGTAGCTCAGTGACAGAGTGCTTGCCTAGCATGCAAAGCCCTAGTTTGAGCCCCACCACTGTGAAAAAAGCAGCAATAACAAAATGCAAACGCAACAGATACCTTTCTTCATTAAAAAGAATTAAAGCACTCAAGAAATGGCTGGTTGCAGGTCTTGAAAAGAAAGCCAAGGTGAGCCAGGGTGAGCTGGAACTCCAGGTCACAACAAAGTGTCCACAAAGGACAAAGGACCTGCCAAGTGCAAAGGACACAGAAGCCAGCTGCAGGGGCTCCGGACTGGTCCCTTTTACACTAATTTCAGTGTCACACACACAACAAAAGCAAAGACTTTCCACAGGTTATAAGATGGGAGTAAAGGTGGGTGTGGTAGCGCATGCCTATAATCCCACAGCACTCGGGAGGTTGAGGCAGGAGGATCTCTGTGAGTTCGAGGACAGCCTGGGCTACAAAGTGAGCTCAGGGCCAGCATAGTGAGACCCTGTCTCAAGAAAAAAAAAAAAAGATGGGAGTAAGAATCCATGAGTCTGCCTTGATTTTCAAAGTAAAAGGAGAAACGGAAACACCTGCCACAAGGGAGGTGAGTATTACACCAAACGCATCCTCTCAAAACTGGTAGCAAGGGAAGAAGCCTCTGTCCTGCCTTCTGAGGCAGCTGTGCAGGAGGGAGGCAAGTGAGGTGAAAGCAGAAAAAGAGCAGCAGCCAGAAAAGTCCATCGCCCGCATCGCGGGCGAGGCTTGAGGGCCCGTGACACCCCGCAGGTGGCACATGGACTGCAATCCTGGCGGGAAAGCCTCAGAACACAGTGCCATCCACAGCACACCCCAAACATGCTATCTAGGTCCACTCAAGCCTCCTGCTACCATAGGCACACGTGGGGCAAAGACAACACCCACGGTGACACAGGCCTCAGACTGGGGACGACAGGCACTGAAAACATGTGGGAACCTGGGGAGATCTGACTGCAGAGGGCTCCTGGGCAATGCTGGGGCGTCTCGTCATGCTTCTTGGATGTTCCCCAGGGCAGGATGGAGTAGAGAACGTCTCTTCCTCTTCCCTTAAGAGGGGAAGGACACTCAGAGGTAAAGTATCCTGTAGCTGCAACTTGTTTCTGAAGGTCTGCAAGCACCTCCTGGAGACAAGTGTGGGAGTGTGTGTACATGTGCATGAGCCTGTCCCGGAAGTCTCTAGATCAGAAATTTCACAGGACTGGCAGTGTGCCTGCCCTCAAGGAACTGGTTCCCCCAGGGAGAGGGAGGTCTCTCCTCCCAAGGCCATGAGTAAGGGCCTGGTCTAAACATGAGGGTGATCTTACCCTACTCACAGGCTGCAGGGCATAACTAATGTGTTCCAGGGGCAGCAGCCACATCAGGTACCTCAAAGCTGGCAACCCCACAGAGCTGTGGTGCCCAAGCAGACAAAAAACACAATCTGGGCCTGGGCTGACCTGAGATGGCAACCAAAGCCGACAGCCAGTGACAGCGGGGAAGGGTTAAACTGCACAAACCCAGAACCAGAGCGAGAGCTAGAGATGTGCTCAGAAAGCCTGATAAATACCTTGGAAACAAAGCATGTTCCATAGCAAGCAAGCAAACAGACCACAGAGAGGTCCCTGTGCTGTCCATGACAGGTTCTGGGTCACAAACCAAGGCATGGATTATTCGGGCTGCTTTCTGTTGGTCCCTGAGCTTGACACCAGTATACTTGCTGCCCACCCTTTCCTCTAGGGTCTGGGCTGTCCTTCCAGTGTGAGGCCTCAAATCATATCTGTGGCCGAAAGCTACAGGAAACCTTTCAATGTCCTTTTGCTCACAGGATGTGGACAGTGGCTTCTGTGATGCAGTAGCCAAGTGGAGCTCTCCCCAGCCCCACCAGCCCCCACCTTGGTCTTCCTCTCTGCCAGGTAAGTGCAGCAGCAACCATGGGTGAGCTCAAGTAGTGACCACACAGCTCTGGAAGAAGCCTGGGCCCTCTGGCTATGTCTTCAGAGGTGGGAAGGCTCAAGGCCAGAGCAAGCCAGGGCCACCCGCCCAGGGACAGGGGCAGGTTGTTGCAGCACTGACAGTGCCCTTGCAGGCCAGTCCTAGCTGCTGCAGGCAGAATTCACACCTTGCTGGTCACCAGGCCTGGTATCTTCAGCCCCTGCCACTTGGGATATGTGCCCACTGGATCCCCAACATTATTTCTGGAGAGCTGGGAAGGGGTGCAGTGGAAGGTGACTGGCTCTGGCTCTGGCTGTGTCACAGTTATGCTTCCCATGGAGCCCTCAGCCTCTCAGGGCTGGACTCAAATGTCTCTCCTTTCCAGCTCTTC